TGGGAGGATGAAATATAAATGCACAACTTCACGAAAACATAGTTGTTATATACAGGCTAGTAGATAACCATGTGGCTTTACTGTTTAGACACCTAGTTATTTGATTGATATTTGTGAAATATTTTAAATAAATAACTTGATCTTATTGTTTCTGAAAATCTACACAGTGGATAAACTGACCATTGGAGTATTTATGACATACTCTGGTACATACTACCCACAGCAAAGCTTTTATTTAGTGTGTAGTAAATATGCAGCAGAGTGTGACCCTGAATTTATGAGCGATTGGAGTGTTTTGTAGAATGGAAGACTTATGATAAAAGACAACGAATATACCATCACATTTTGAATCATCATTTTACATGGTTGACCAAAAGGCGAAAATCAGTAGGATCTTTCTTGGCCCATAACGGTGATAAAAATTATCGAGTCAGCTTTGAAGTTATCTATCTATCTACAGTTTCAGAATCCACTCTTTGCATGCAACAGAATTCACAAGGATACATACAATAAACCTTAATTATGTACACTGTGAAAATATATAAACAACCTCTTCACTTATGGTGATGATTATCTACTTAATTTTATTTCTTCAAATCATCCAAACTTTTCCAATTCACTTATAATGTAATTTCTAATTTAAGCCATGTGTAACTTGTTCAATAATCTTATAATTTTATTCTCATTTAACCCGTTTCATTATTCATTCTTTAATTATATCAGATATTTTGATTCTTATCTTACTCTTACGTAACTAGTTATGACAACTAACTAATTATAATGTCATCGTAGTTTAATTTTAATTTTCACGACGTTGTGTCATTAACTGATTACCATATTGATAAACTGACTCACCGTCATCTTACTTAATAACTTACTTACTTACGCCTGTAATCCCCAATCGAGCGTAGGCCGCCGACTTACTCTGTCCAGGGCTCCCTTTCCAATTCTGTCCAATTTTTGTTCATTCTTCTCATATCTGTCTCCGTTTCTCGACATAATACATCTTTTGGTTTTCCTCTCTTCCATCGCCCTTGAGCGTTCCGAGTGAGAGGTTATCTTGTGACGATGTGTGTCAATGTTAGCGCTTCTGTCTGATTTTTTCCTCGACTGATATCTGGTTTGCTTTCTCTCACAGTACATTATTGCTGATAGTATCTGGTTACCATCATCTACCTGGTATTTTAATTTTGTACTTACATTTATTCCCAAAAATTGTACTTTTAGTGTCTAAACTTCAAATATTCACTGAGTTATAAAAGCATACAAATAAAAACTTTCATTCACTTCATTTTAAGCTAAACATTTCCTAACAATTGTGTGTACTTCTTTCATATTGAATTCAGAAGATTGAATTATGTTTCAAGCAGGGTGAATTCATGATAAAAACGAGAATAATTTTATTGTTGCTACAGTTTCTTTCTAAAATATCTAAAAACATCGAAAAAGCTTACTAATTTCAAAATAACGTTTACAAATATTGCATAATAATTTTTTATCTACTTGAGAAGAGGAAACTAGTTTATCAAGATATTTGGACAGGTGAAACAAATATAAAATTTTAAAAATGCGCAAAAAGTAAACATCAAGTCTGTAGTTTTCTGATTTTATTCTTATGGTTAAACCTCTAGGTTCAATGGAAAATTACTGAAATTTGTTTCTTTAAGATAACTGACACAAATGTTTCAACGATCAGTTCATATATTTTGTCAAACGGTCAACTATCTAATCAGGATACATATAGGGTAGTAGTGCTTAAATGTGCATTAGGCAAGTTCATAATTGTAAAGCCTATATCACCTATTCTACAGAAGCAAAGCAACTTGAATTTACATTTCTCAGTTTATTAACTCATATCAAGTACCGGAAACGGTTAATAAACACTGGTCACAAGTTCTTTGAAGAGCTGAGTGGTTTGCTTAGTTTCATCCCAAGTGTTTAGTTTCATGTATTCTGCTAAAATTTTCATGGAGTCAATTTTTCATTTGATAACTTTTTAAAATCCAATATTCACTGCTACATTTTACTATGAATAAACGACTCATTTTATATCACGAAGCATTCTAAACTGGACCATCATTAGAAACCTGGAAGCACTGGACTGTTATTTCGTCCTAGTATTAGGGACTCATCAGCACTGTGAATGCAAGACCCTGGAACATGGAAGTTAAATTCAGAACCATGTATAATTTAAATCCATTATTGATGTTATGCAACCTTCATCCATTTCGTGCGCTGGACAACTGTCTACTTTTTAATCGATTCGTGATTTCAACTAAGAAAGAAAAAACAACTCCCACAAATATCCCCCCCACTAATTTATTTTCGTCCGATACACAATTCACTTGAAGTTCAAAAATGGTTATTTAATACGCGTTACATTATTAACGTCCAGTCTCTTTATCAAAAAAAATCTAATTGTTGACTTCACAGCGGTAAAACGTATATTCATTTATACATGCATAGGGAGTTAGTTATGTAAACAACATCGCGTTTTAAAACAAAGTGAAATGGACCACATTTCCAAATATTTTAAAATGACTTGATAAGTAGAAATACGTTCATGTTGTTGTTGTTGTTGTTATTGTCAGAAAGGCAGTTATTCAATTGGGAAAAAAACCTAAATGGAAATGCACTGAAATTACCACTAAATAAAACATACCTTGTTTTTTAATGTTTGTATAATATGGACGAGTGATATACATTTTCTAGTTAAAAAAAAAGAAAGAAATTAGTTCTATCGTGTCTGTACTTAATCAAAACTATATTCTACTCTTTCAATCCTAAATTATGGACTTTTGAATTCGATTGTGAAATAGTTTAACAATGGTGAATTTTAGATAGGATACAAAATTGGTAGCAATGAAAGAAACATTAATTGAAACCAAACTAACGATTCCAATTGTATTTGACTAAGTGGAACATGACAAAAACTAACACTCTATACTACAGAGTCAACATATTGTTACTTAACTCAGAATAAGAATGTGACTATCAGATATCAAACCCAACGTACTAAATATACATCTTGAACATCTACTATGTAAGAAAGAAGATTGTTGTTTAGGGAGTTTTGAAAATAATTTGAATACTTTAAAACTTCATCGACAGTCATTCACACACACACACACACACGCAGAAAAGATACGATCTCACATATCTTAAACTCTATAAATGATGTCTCACGTTTTACATTACTTCTCAAGTGATGAAGACTGCCAAATATCTACAGAAAAATGTAACACATTACTAATACTAATAAAGATAATTCAACAAAATAAATTCTGGAATTTCATGTGTTTTTTTTTAAAATACTGATTCAGTGCCCAGCTTAATTCCTACACTTCTCAATCTTCAAACAATTATAACTTAATTGTTTTAACTTATTTTTCTACTTCAATAAACTTATTTTTGATTAAAAAAAACAGCAGTTTAATTTACCGCTTTTATCACAAAGGAATGTACTTATTCTTTCCTGTTGGTAGAGGAAATAAGAAGGGCAAGTATCTTGGAAAGCATTGCATAAAATAATACAATACTTATCAAAGTCATTTATGTTATATAAAAATTTTTTTTCCGACTTGTAGTAGTATTCCATTTATATAAGAATAATATAAGCCTATTGCTGATAAATGTAACCATTTATAAAATTGTTTCAAAAATGTTATTAATTTTCATTTTATCTGTTAATTTTATGACAACTCTAAATTGTAGATAAACCGTTCCACCAATTAATTGTGAAGAAAGGTAAGATTTCAGGATGAAGCTGTAAGATATGCAATAAGATATTTTTTGCCACACCAGTTCATTAGTTTCAGTAAATTAGCAACTTCCTAAAAACTGTATCAATGACAAATTAATTTTGTTATGCAGATATCATTACTATATCAAACATGTCTGATCATGGAAACTTGTACCGGAGAAAAATTTGCATGACTCAACTATGCTTTAGCGAAAGCAGCTAATTTATTTAAAACATTTTGTAGATTCAATGAAACTATTGACTTTTATCCATTCAGTTGAATCTTAATTAATTTTGTTTTATAATGTACTGAAGTATTTTTATTAGTAGTATTACTGTTTGTAAAAGTTATTCTACTGCAACAAAACTAGGCTCTTCATTCATTAACTAACAGTTTTTTTGTTAATTACCGCTTTCAAAATCGTCATTACGTCTTTTCCTATCAATTTACTACATGAATTGAACTGGAAATCTTTTAATAGTTTAGTGTAGTATTTAAAACCCAATTTTACTTGGAAAACTGTAAGTGATCAGTAGTTTCCTGGAAAAAATGAGAACACCAGTTTGAAATCTTGATAGAGTTAATTTTATCATAAGACTTATTATATTCAACAGAAATATCTGCTTACAGTGAAAATTTAGCTATTAATATTACAGATTTTCAAATTCATCCTATATATATATATATATATATATATATATATATATATATATATATATATAACACAGAATCTATCATAAATAAGCGAAAGACGATAAAATGAATTATTAAAATTCCAACTAAAAACAGATTATCATTCATTCGAAAAGTTAATCAACATGTTTGCAATAATCAAGGAAAACGATTAGGGAAATATTGTCATAATATTTACATCGAAAATATATTTTAAAGAAAAGGAGGAGAGACAAAGAGAAGGAATACGAATAAATGCTTGACAATTTTATTAAAATAGTTTACAGATGTATATATATATATATATATGTGTGTGTGTATACACCTATATGTATATACGTATATATGTATAACGTGTATCTGTTCAATTGTGCACTTTGAATGGACACGATAAGGAACATTCAAAGTAGTTTACTTTTAATCAAATATAGTTATTAATACATCGATGCCAATGTCTTATATTTTCATAAATAATTTCATTGAATCTACTTTCAATTTTATAGTGAATAAATAAGTTTTGTTTTGTTAATATGTTGTAAATAGAGGCATACAGAATAGAAAATAGGTTTTTATTATTATTATTATTATTATTATTATTATTATTATTACTAATGTTATTATTCATGTAGGCTTTCTTTTCCTTCATAAAATTTATTAGCAAAGAAAATAGACAGCATAGTGAATTAATAATGATTAGGTCAGTTCAAACTGATACAGAGAATTAAAAAAAATTATCACTATCTCTCCTAACTCATGATGATCAAACCTCGGTGGATGTTAACAATTCTAATTCGTTTGTAAAGCGAAACTCTGAATTTTCATCGCAATTCGATAAATTGTCTTGATCGTTTTTTTGAGTACCATTCATTGTAGGATTGTAATTGCTAAAGGATAAATCATTATTTGTATAAGGTGAATGAAATTGATGCATATTCTCTTGTTTAATTAAATGTTTTGCATTCGCGAACTGAAAATCTCCATTCACTTGGACTGTACTATTATTATGAGTTCTGGTTGAATAAGTATACGGCGTTTTATTGATCAGGGAGTGACGTATTGATTTTTGATTTGATTGACTGTTCAATGTTAAATGATCAGGTAATAAATGCAAATTGAATTCTAGTTCATGACGCCGCTGTTCATTGTGATGCAATAATGATTGATTGTGATTAGGATATGAATTCTAGACAAATAAGAAATATGTAAAAAGATTAGTATTTTACCTATGAAGCACAATTCAATACACTTGTATATTGTACATAATCCTGCTTGAATGATTACACTAAAATCCTTTTATTCTGAAATGTTCAAAACAAAACAGGACAATAAACAGTTTGAACAGTTGTTGGATTAATTTATTGACGTCATTAAATCTGTTCACTTGGTACAAGCTTAATGAATAATGTAAGAATTACTTCAAAAAAAAGTCTGTTATCCATATAAGTTGCCTATTTTTCAAAATTATTCATTTAATCATGCTTTTATAATAAGTAATCCTTCTTGCAAATTTTCTTTCAGTGTATTAGGTAAATCGAGTTGGTTTGAATAATAAAATGAATGGTCCAATGATTCCATACTGAACTGAACATCGGACTATTGATTACAACTTTGTTCTAATGATAACACTGATTACTTTGTGGTGTATAATCAAAATTTTAAGTTCACAGAACAACCAACAACGTCGACAACAGTAAATGATAATAGGAAAATAGAAGTTAGAAAACCGTTATTGGGAACGTTCTCGTTTCGTCATAAATATCATACTTTAACAAAAGTAATATAAGAATAGATGACTTTTCTACCAAGTATCATAATAGGATTAGTCATTATCTGGTTACAACAAAGTTATTCAGAAATTTTAACTTGGATTAGAAACGATATTTTATCACGAGATGATAGAAAATTTTTGTAGCTAAGGATTCACTGAAGTATTGGTCAGAAGAAACATAAGGAAAGCCAGAGCATTTTCAGATGCTTAGTACACCGACCAAGCTCATGACAAGTCATATATCGAGATAGACTCAATCAGCCTGGCACGATAAATAAAGAATAACTACAGGATAAAAATTCAGGTTAGAAGCGAAATATAGTAAAACAGACACAACCTACGATCACGCAAAAATGAGTAATAACCAGTTAAATTCCATTTCAGAAGATACAGCTGTTGATCAACTGTCAAGAAATTCTAACTACGCATTTTTCTTCAAAAATGCACCGATACTGTTGTTCAGAAAGACAATAAAAGCTTCACGGACAAACTATCCAGCATAGAGATCAAAAGGCGGACATTTTATAACGTTAGAGTTACATACACATATTGATGTACCAAATTTATTACAGTGATGATTTATTACATTACTGAAAAACTCGGTAAATAGATAACGATTGAATAAATTCTTAAGTCAAAAGTTTTTACTTCACCTCTACTGGAATAGCGTGTGGTTCCATAGTTCCTTCAAATGTTCTAAATCCATTATAATCATTAGTTACAGAATTTCTGTTATAAGATTTTCTCTGTAAACTGTTATACTTCATACAATTCGGAGTTCCTGGTTCATAAGTGTCCATATGTGATTTCGACATGATATGATTTTCTCCATTGCAATTCATTAAGTGAAAATGATTATTAATGCTGTGATTATTTGGGATGGATGGCATCAAATTGAATGAAGCGTCACTAGTCACTGATAAATTATTATTGATAGCATTCATAAATTTCTGACTAGTAGAATAATTTTGAATTGCTGGAAATCCTACATCATAAAATCTTTGTTCAGGATACATTGGTCCACGTAAATAATCTGTATCCCATTCATGTTGAACAGATGGTAAAGAATTAATGGTTTGAATAAGTGGTGTTGTTGACTCACTGTAGTCCACGGTTCTGTTGGCATCGAAATGATATACATTATTCTGGTTTAATACTGTGCGTTCATTTTGTAAAGATGAGCAAAAGTAGGATGCTGACAACTGATCAATACATAGCCGGTTTGAATTGTTCGAACTGGGCGAGTTTTGATTGATCAATATTTTATTATTGATAGAATTACTTGAATCTGTAATCGCTTGCCTATTTTGAGGTGAATGCAATGCTGGAAAATTGTAAGTTAGATGAGTAGGATTATTTATTTCAGGATCTGTAAAGTTACAAACAAATAAAGCCGAAAAGTAAGTTGCTAACAACCGGTTTCCATGAATAACTCTTTTGTACAGTACAAATAACAATACGTATGGGATGACGTGAACATGCTTCATATCATATACTCTGTATTTGACTAGTGTAAATAAATAAAATGTTATATAAGTGTAATTTTTTACATTTGTATTCTATCTCAACACCTGTCTATCTATACAGAAAGAACTTGTGGTTCACTCGTCACTGTCATTGTTATGACCATTGCTTCCTGTCTATATTTTAAAAAATATGTTTAGAACATTTTTTTTAAAAATTTCCCTTATTTGACTTATAACCTACAAAGATATTCACTATTATTCCGTTGTTTAAATCATAATTCACACTTTCAATGTTCATTTTAGTCAAGTTTTCATTTTAATTTGTTATCGTTATAAATTTTCTTTTTAGTCTGATATCATTCATTAAAATGTATGACTCCGTATAAATTTACTCATTTAGGCAACTTGATTTTTCGATATTATCTTTAACTAATATTATTTCAATCTACCCTGTTATCAAAATCCTTGATAATTACTGGTATTGATTTTATCTTGATTATCATGAATAAAAAAAGGAATTAGAATTATTATTCACCAATGAAATCAATATCTTTACGCATCGAAAACTAAATGCACATTACCATTATTTCATTAATTAGTTACACTTCAAATTGACACAATTTAGGCGCTACATCTAATTCAGTTTCAATTTTCATTCCAGTCTAAGTAGATATTTTGAAATTACTGTTTCAGTGAATCCTAACACTTATTATTTCGGTATTTTTAATCTTTGTTTAAACACAGTGTAACGCATTCGAAACCGAACTTTATTATCTCTTAGTTTTGTTTATCAATTTGTCCTAATCTCACGCTGGCTTTATATCTGGTTGCCATCTATTTATTCGTATATTGCATGTAAGTGCATTCTATGTGTTTACTGAGTCGTCGGCTCTTCTTTTTCTCTTATTCTTTCTTCTTCCAGATAATCTCATACGCTTCTCCTCACATCCCCCACCTAGCACACAAGGTACCTCCTGGCTAGACGCAAACCAACCAAAGGCTGAAGTTACAACAGTAAAAACATTTCGAAGTAGCATTATATTGTTTACATTAAATGTGTTTAACAAGCCTTTCCAATTGCGTTACATAACAAAGCTAGTTATAATATGACCACTTTTTTTGCAAGTCTAGATTAATAACTTGATAAATTTTTATCCTACATCCAAATATATTTTACAACTTGCACACCATATAATTTGAATGTAATTTCTTTGATTAATTACGCTTCAAATTTGATTGATAATTCAGAAGCTCAAAACGATTTGCTGATAACAAAATTTAATCATAATCATATCTGAATAATTTATTTAAATGAGCCATAAATTTCAAAACAACTTGGGATAACTTTCTGTAATTAATTTAATTTTTCGGTAGAAAAAGTTTAAGAAGATTTATTTGAGGTTTTTTTACATAATTTTTGACCAAATATTAGTGACCATTATAATGAATATTTGTCAATGGAGAACGTGAAAATGATTTAAGTTAGTACACTTTATTCCTTACTTAGTTTATTACATTAAATTACTGAAAAGTTTCATAACAGCGTACAGATGACAGTAAATTTAATAAACATTTTTAAGCTTAATAAGCATTTGTGATGAAAATATTTAGTCCAGTTATTCTCTGGGTGAAATAATGTAATATATATGTATATACGAACGTGTATGTATAAGAAAAGTAATCAGTTACACTTACTTATTGATTGATTCGAGTTGATCAGTTTTTGACTTGTTACACCATTATTATAATCATCAAATCGTTCTATTTCATTTGTACTAATTGTTCTATTACTTAATGCATTACTATCAGTGGTACTATCTGTATGTGTAATCAAAATTTCTGGAGTTGTTTTATTGTTTAAACTATCCCAATTATGATTATTTAAAATAAGATTAAAAGGTTTAGTTTGATTGTAATTTTGAATTGTCATATTCGCATTCTCCAGATGATGATGTATTCCTGTCAATAATTCAACGGTTACAGGTGTTTCTGGTTTATGATAACTTGAATTAATCATATTTGGATACTCATATATCTTGCCAGTTGGTTGTAGATTATTATTCATTATGTTTGGGTTAAAGTGTGGATGACTTGTTTTAGGTGTGAAACAACACTGACTTATAAATGTACTAGATTTCGACACATTGGAATCAATGTTTCCAGTGACAAATGTTGATTTATTGATCTGCTTCCTGTTGTGCATATTCCATTTCAAAATAATCAATAAAATGCAGACAATCAAAGTAGCACATAATCCTAACAGGATTATCAACCACCAATGATAAGAAAATGGTGTTAAATTTATTTTTACTAAAATAAAATAAATTAATTAAAAGGGATTAAAAAGATGAACGTTAAGAGAGAATTAAATTAAAGTATTTTTACTGAAAACACTAATTATAATATCACTTGGTAATCAATTAACCGACTGAGTGAGTAATATGGAAGAGTTTAATATATGATAAAGAATATTACCATAAAAAGTTATTTGATAGTGATATAGAGCCATAAAAACACATCACTTTATACTAACCAAAATCATATACTTGACTATAGGTTCAAATCGATATAAGTGGATCTAAAATGGTGTTAGTATTGGGAAGCTTTACAATACAGCGATAATGTTTTGATACGATTTAACATAATACTTCAATTTAAGATTGAAATAATTTCTCCTTTTGAATGTACTCTGGCCTTATTCATTTGAAGTTCAGAATATAATTTCTTAGTTCGAAAATATATGTAATTTAAGTGGTAAGCGTCCATGTAATTGTTTTGGGAATTTTTCATTGTTGTATTATTATAGATAGAACTTCAAATCGTAAACTCGTTTGACGCTCAAAAAACAGACAGCTGTAAATTTTAGAAACTGGAGGCAAGATAAGAGACTTGTCATTTGAAATATCAAGAGGCGAGGATTATCAAAATAACTTCAAGTTATGCTTAATGTTTATTTCACATTAAACTCCCTGTATCGAATATATATATATATATATATATATATATATATATATATATATATATATATATATATATATATATAAAAGAGATCCTTCTACTCCATATCTCACACATTTATATAAAAACCAGTCAGCATAAACTGTGCTATTTATGCACTTAGTTGAAAGATTTTCATTTACGTTTTTATCATCATTGTTCATAATGATTTTGAAGTCATATTTTAGTACTTTTATCAATATTCTACTACTGATTAATTTCCCATTTTGATGGTACTGCTTAGAGCTTATGGAGCTAAACCTATTCAAGTAAATATTCATAAAATTATCTTGCACGATTTGTCGCAGGAAACTGTTCCTTAGACTTATCCTTTAAAGATGAACAATCTTTCAATATCGATTAGTTTTACTGGTCCTTCACAGAGAAGAGTTTTAAGGGTATAAACAAACAGGCTGTACCTGTCGTCTGCACGCTATCAATCTAATACTTTTTCTGTTACTGGAGAAAATAAGTAACGGAGATCGAAATATGAATTTTCGTAGTTGGAATCACGTATCGATTCTAGCTAAACCAACAATAGATGGCCGTTTCGTTCCAGTACGCGGCTTATCAGCAGTGGGCATTTATGACTCCAACACGCAGGAGTCAGACTAAGGAAATGCTACAAACTCCGCAAATGAAGTACATATTCTCTAGAATTCGTTTATCTACCACAATCTCATGATCACAAATAATTGACTTACATTTTATAACACTCCAATCCGATTCTTGGCTAGGTAGACCTATTTGAAATCGATTAACAGGAGATACACGAAACTGAATAGCTACATGTTTTGTAGAATCTGTCGGTACATTAGCATTAGTAAATGCAGCTGTTATCATTTGTTTTGTCACTTCTTGATTAATTTCACTAATTGTTGTTTGTGATTTCGCTTGAGTATTGATATTTTTGTTTGAATGCTTTAAATCATTTCGTAAGTCGGCTGAAAATTCTGTGAAATCTTCTAAATCAAATGTATAAGATTTCATTGAATTGTTTATCATTATGAAAGGATACCAATGGTTTAAGTTCCCTGTAATATAAGACATGATTATAACAACAGTCAAAAGTATGCTATTATCTGGTAAACTGGAAAATGCTTATTATTATTATTATTAATGTTATCACGATCTGGTGATCGACTGGATTATGAAGACGTCAAAATCTGGAGGGAAGCACGATATGCAGTGGACAGCCAGGATGCAACTGGAAGATCTAGACTTCACAGATGATCTAGCTCTTCTATCGCACATGCAACAACAAATGCAGCAGAAGAGACCAGTGTAGCAGCAGCCTCAGCAGCAGTAAGTCTCAACATACATAAAGAGAAAAGCAAAATTCTGCGATACACCACAACATTCGCCAGCCAAATCACTCTTGATGGACACGCCTAGGAGGACATTAGCATCCTTACATATCTCGGCAGCATCATCAACAAACAAGGTGGTTCTAATAGACATATGAAGTAGCCGATCAGCAGAGCAAGGGCTGAATTTCTACAATTGAAGAGCATCTGGAACTCAAAACAGCTATCAACCAATGGAGCGGAAACTTGGAGAACTACGAAAGCCATCATCCAGCGGTTACAAGTATTTATGAACAGTTGTCTTCGCACACTACTTTAGATTCGTTGGCCAGACACCATCAGCAACAACCTACTGTGTGAGAGAACAAACCAGATTCCAGTGGAGGAGGAAACCAGGAAGAAGTGGTGTGAGTGGATAGGACAAAGTAGAAAGTACCCAACTTCATCACAAGACTAGCCCTCACATGGTTCCCTCAAGGTCAAAGGAAAAGAGGAAGGCCAAGAAACACATTAAGCCGAGAAATGGAGACAGACGTGAGAAGAATGAATAGCAATTTGACAGAACCAGAAAGGAAGACCCAGGACAGAGTTGGTCGGAGAATGCTGGTCGGCTACCGAAGCTCCATTGTGGGTAACATGCGAAAGTAAGTAAGCGCGGTCAGTATCTCTTAACCACATAATCATCGTGCATCAGTAGATTTTTAAACATATTTAAAGCATCATTTAAGCTAGCCTATACTTGTCTCCCCCAAAAAAGACTGTGCTGAAGAAGAAACAATATAGATAATTCATATTCACATTATGAAATTCTTTTTCATGATCTTTGGGTTACAAGATATTTATAAATGTCGCATAATAATCATGTAGAAGAAAATACTAGAATCTTATGCTGTCATTTAACAAAATACAAATTAGCAATGAAATACAGATTTCTGAATTGTCATAACTTTCTCTAACTTTGTAGAACTAATAACTATACATATATGATTCACAACAGTCGCACACTTCATCATACCGTTGAATATTACTGGTTCAAATGAAAAGTTAGACTTACTAATCCGTTGCTTTTAAGTCATAGATATTCAATGCTGCATACACTATGATGACAAATTAGAAATTTAATCATTTGTTATTAATCATAATCTCTCATTTCCTTACTTGTATTAAACAACATATCTAGTGAGAGTTAGTTAAGTTCAAAACAAACATAAGTCATGAAGTTCATCAAATGTCAAATTTCAATATTTTCCCATTGTGATAATAATAATTTGTCAGTCTCGCCCTAATACACTAATTCTTCAGTTGTTTTAAACTTAAAGTACGGTATATTTACATTCAGTCCCACTTAATGATTTTTTTAATGATAGAACTAATGGACAATTGTTGAATATCTGGAATTTTAATCACTTCATTACTTTACAAACCATCAATAAGTTGAGCATCAATCAATTGTCTTTCTAATGCTTCTATAAAAAATCTAATTTTTTGATATGTTCAATGATGAATTAGATATTTTCTCATATCTAATTCATATTCACAAAATGATATACTTAAGTTTGTAAATATATATTTTTGAACATTTAAGACTTGATAAAATAATGTAAACAATGTACAGCAAAATATTTTTATCAACGAAAATTTATCAGGAGTTTTTCATGATGAATAATACTAATTATTATTTTTCATAAGAAGTACGTAAAAAAATTATGTGTAAAACTTAAGGAAACATTGATTTTTCAGTGTATTCATTAACCTACATGAATAACGTATTTCAATCAGTATATGCGTAATAGAATTGAGTCCAAACACAGCTTCATTCCATAGAATTGTAATGATAGTTGATGAATAATTTAAGTTTGTTTCTTTGTGGCTATGAAGTTTCTGTAATGAATTCTTTGACAGATTCTGAAAGTTTTGATTCGATGCAGTCTTAGTTATACTACTGATAAATACTATGGGACGACGTAATATTGGTGAGTTGAATGAACACAAATTTTCAACGTTTGGATATATCTAAAATGAAATGACAGCGGTAAGATAATGTTAGATACGAACTCTACTAATTACCATTGATTAAGAAATGCACCTTTCGTACAATAAATTTATTTTTTACGGATAAAAAATATTTTCAGTTCTATCTTTTGATCAATTAGATCAACAACTGATTCTATACCTAAAGAACCAACGTTTTGGATATAGAACAGAGAAAAATGTGCGTAAAATGATCGGTTTTATTAACCATGATCAAGAAAAATCATCTCTCATTTCACTCCTCTGAAGTTGTTCATAGTGACATTTTGTCTTGATCTATGTAACGGTTAACGAACACATTCATTACTACTAGTATTATTGCGTATTAGATTATGCAATCAGTAAATACATATTTTTCTTATAAACATCATGAGACATCTGACATTTAAATTCAGAAATGTCTTTATGTCACATGAAATAATTAGAAAACATAAACTGAAGGTTACTAACATTAATAAGTGGATGAATCAGTCTTTTTTGCTAAATCTTAACTGCATTAACTTTGAAACATTTTTAACTGATGAGTAACTTTTGATTAAGGAAACAGATAACAGAGGGATTAGACAAAAAATTTATTATCAATGGAGCTGAGGTGATGCAAATGTGTCTTAAGGCGTACTGTTTAGGGTCATTCAATTTGAATATTTAAATAAGAATTTGTGGAAATAAACTGAACTTTCAAGTTCTAAAAAAGTTTTTGATTAGCTGTTCGTTCATCCTGTATGTTCACACAATCCCAGATTGGAGCTGCACTATACAAAGTTCTGCGCTTAGGTTTTAATAGCTAGTTTGTAACACCGGAAACACCAAGTAGCATCGAAGCCGCTTCCTTGGGATCTTTACAGCAATAAGTTCGCTTATTTTCCAAAGCTATAACTATTAAATGCCAGCATCATACACATTAGAACAGGATTTTGTGAAAGACATCATTGTAAGGTAATCATCACGAAATAAAAATTTTTGAAATCTGTAGATGGATATAAGTTTGTATTAAGGACTAGCACTGTATAAGTAGACTTAAACCAACCAGACTGCTGTACCGTTTAGAATGAGATACCTTAGTAGTGCTTACCCACAACTCAGCGTACATCAAACCCTAAACATCCAGACAATTGGTTTGACAAGTAGTGGTGTACATACATAAATGAAAGCAGTTCGCGATTTTGTACGATCATATTCTGATGACCTTCATATTTAATTAACCATAACACACCTGATATGATTAAAGACCATAGGCATTCTAACCATAAGTCAAACCTGGATACATTTGAATAAACATTAATAATGTTCAGCCAATAATTTGTATGCGCTACATAAATTATATTTTAGCACTTTTTATATATATGGTTGCATAGTATTATCATATTCTATGTATGAGGGTTAGTAGCATTACTTACGATGTTGTTGTAAGATTTTCAATAGATTTCTCGTAAATATGTTCTCAGAATTATTAGTAGAGGTGGAGATTAGCTACCAACGGAGTTCAGGAAACATATTTCTTACTATTTGGGACTTGTCAAATGGGTGCCCGACTTTCAGAGTTGATGTTTACTCCGAGACTGAAACCTAGTAACTTACGTTTCAAACTCCATCGAATTATCCACTTAGCTACTCAGTCAAGAAAGCCGTTAGAATGTGTAATGGAATGAAGATTAATTCATTTGTATTGGTTATTCTAAGCTTCTTATCCACCTGTGCTAATAATTGTTGTAGCCCAAAGGCTATAACGAGGCAATCTTCACAAGATGCATATATACCAAAGAGACTAATCAATTATAATCCTAATGAACATCACTGAGAAGATTCAACATAATCAATAGAAATAAATTGTCCATATAGTCTTTTATGATAGTATTTGTATAATTAACAATCGTCCTGATTCAAACAAATTCACCAATTAAATTTAATACTTACTGTTTTGATTAAAGTGGTGAAGTCACATGTAGATTGTGAATTAACTCTGATTACTTGTGGTGAATTAAACCAACAATAACTTGTTGACACATAAATACAAGTTGGTCTACTCCAACCATCATTTTGTTTGGATTCTGTTCGAGCTTCAACTTTGAATAGGTAAGTAGTATTTTCATGTAACTGATCTACCGTATAAGTTGTTTCAAATGCTTTGAGTTTCATTGTGGACTGTAGTCCCAAGTTCTTGTTATTGATTGAGTCTTTGACTAAAAATATTAGATTAGGTTAATTTTAAAACACTGGCTTATTCATAATCATCAGTAAATATAAAGTGAAATCAATAGGTTTCGAAAATTACTCTTCAGTCTTTATTGAAAAGAAAGTTATTTGTTATTTATTTTTTCTAGGTGTGATCGGATCTAAAGGGAAGATAAAAACTCCACTTATTTTCAGTGATTACTCAGTGAACTATAATGGAACTGAATATAAGTATATCAGGAAACTATTATCTATCGCTGACTTCATAGTCATTGTCAATTAATCACTACTACTACTTAAAATTTGTTGGAAATAAACTTTTTATGATTTCAGATAAGTACGCGTTTTCAGAACAATGGCATGTATTACACCGTAGTAATCTCAGTTTTACCTTCAATGTACCTTTGCGTCAGATTAGTCAAATATTAAGACTATTCATAGAATTTATTTTTGAATTACTTTACACATTTGTTCGATTTTATTCACACAACTGTTATTAATTAAAAACATTCCTACACACAAATATTACGTACACAATACCCTAATTAAGTATTCTGATAGCCGCAACAAACTAGTCTAACAAATTATTTATGAAATTAATTAACATCTGTAACACAGAAACGCTAAGATTCATTGCAAACACTTATAGTTACGAGTTATTCAATGTCTGTCATAACTCATTCTAAAGCTATTTTTAAATACAGATCTCAAGTGTAGTTTCTTATGTGTCTGGAAAAATCAGTCAGGTACAAAGAACACCTTAGTGTTGATTTTTAGTTCATAAGTGGTAATCTATTTTTTTCACACGGATTTTTCCAAGTTAAAAAGTCTTTCTGATTTTGGTTAACTTATGATTTAATGATCTACAGAAGTACTATCAACATAAGTGGAAATACATTACACTCAATGTGTAACAATGTAGCAGTGTAGCAATTATGGAGAGTGTGATGGGCAACCATTACGGTTAGATAACCATTGATTTCAGCTAGATTTCTATATCGCGACCCTGTGTTGCACAGAATAAATGTTTACCTGCGAGATTTAAGGTCCTGTAATTCATTTCTTGTGTAGGAGGCATGAGAACGCATTGTCAAGGAGCATCATACTAGCATGAAACAGTCGTCCAGCAGTTCATGATCTCAATAAGAAAAGAGTGTTGTTGAATAAAAACCAGACAAGTGAAGTCAATTTTAGGTTCAAAATATCAGTAAGAAAATCCAACAAACACTTAATTAATTGCGTAAAGTGGTACATAATCAATTTCCTGTCTGACTCAGAATACATGTAGCAAAAGTGATGTAAATGCATAATTCAAGATGAGAAACTTAACGCGAAAGTATGCTTCTTCTGGGAGATAGACAATGTAAATCGGTCAGGAGATTATAATGCTGAAAGAGTACATGAATTATGTTACTGTTGAAAGACTAACCGAATGCCTCAATAGACTCAATTGTAATTAAATACAATTGGCAATGGAATCAATTATAAAATGGTTTAATAAAAATGATTTTCGCTTGTCAATAAATCACACTGATTATAAAAAAAATAAATTACACACGGATAAAAAAAATGACATAAGAAACAAATAGTTCCTACAACTATTCCAACACAACTAAACCTATCTTGAATCATTAAACAGTTTCGAAATTAAATAGTTTCTAAATTGTTATAAGTAATAAATATAATTTTCAAGAACAGAACATCATTGTAATATTAGAAAGTGATGAGCTAGATCTTAAAACAGAGGCTAACCTCATATAGCTTAAAGGTTGTGAAAGAATCACTATATTCTGTTGAAAATGAGAAAATTCAGTATGAATCTTTCATCAATAGAATCGATTCCAGTTAATTCATTTCACAACATGATGTCACAGAACCTTTTGATTAAGTTAATGTTATAAATGAAGAACTTTTTGAGAACAAAATCAATAAAAAATTGTTTACTTTCTTTTTCAAACTCCAAATTCCTTTAAATAACTGACTTTGAAGGAAAACAATATATCTATTGGAAAAAATTATTTTACATCAAAAGTACTTACTTTCACCTATAATTTGATTATCAGTAAATTGAAAAATAATCTCATTGTATGTAACACGATAATTTACAAGTTTTCCATTTAGTTGTTCCGGGTGTAACCAATCAAGTTTAATTTTATCCCGTGATAACCACTGAGATGTTAAGTGAAATGGAGAGTTTGGTGGTGATTGAGCTGTACAAATCAATTCACCAGATAAACAAACATTTTCTGTTGAATTATGTGATTTTACATTTGTATCGATTTGTGTCTGTTGATCATTAAATCGTGGAAAATATACTTTTGGTCCATGTCCACCAGCTGTTATCACATGAATTGACAATTTATAATAGAAATATGGTTTAATAATTGTTTGATCCGACATAATCACATTTGATTGAATGATACTTGAGACAGAATATAATAGAATATCATGTACATGTGGTTTAATGAAAATTGAATAGGTTTTAATGGAATCATAAGAAAGCTTATAATTTCTATCACCAAATTCATGTACTTCTAACTAAAATGTAAATACATTTTAATAAAACAAAAAGAAATCGTCAATGTCTTGACATTATATATATATATATATTACATCAGAGCTTTAAATACATTTTAATTCATTCGAAACGATCATCAACTTAACAAGGACTTTATTAACCAATTTAAAAGCAAGTTATAATTTACACACTAACTAGTTTACGTTTGGAATATATTCTAATATTATGAAAAAGAATGAATATCGGATGGGTGCAGAAAAACTTGAAAAATAAATTTATCATGTTTCGTACATTTGAATTTAGAAAATGATTCATTCCGCAATAATTTTGATGATACAATCATGTTTACAATAGTGAATTGTATTTGTTAGAAAGTATGTATCATTTCAAACATAATTTTCATAATTAATGTGTTCTACATAGTCAGCGCCCAATTTCTGTTTAACTATCATTTCAAATATTGATAAATATTCGTGTGATAATTAAGTATACTTTCATGTAGATTAGTATATTGCAGTAATTTCAAGAATCTCAAAACTTGTACGGTGAAGTAAGTAGTTTATTTACATAAACGAAATTAAGATTTCTCCTGCTTCACTAGAAAAATAATAACTTCATCAACTCAAAAACTAAGGCCGTAGTTTCAATGAAAACAAGGTCTCAGATGGCAAATTTATGAATAAAAATATTTTGGTATAATCTCAGTTCAACCAAAAGCAAGATAATCATCGTCAAGTTGTATTCTACGCTAAAACATATATGCATTTTACGCATATTTTTGAAATTTGTAATATTAAGTCCTATACTTGCTATCATTAAAAATTAGTTTTTATTTTAGATAAATAATTTGTGTTTTAGTCTCACGTTGGTATAATGTTCACATAATTCAATAATCGTACTACATAACTAGTTAACTAACTCCACGTGGAGCCTTCCTGGGGTTAGTGCCGGTCCCAAGCCAGAATATAGGAGGAACGTTGGACATGGGTTTAGCTACCTTATCCCGTAGAAAACTAACCCGCTAAAATAACACTAGCCAGAAAAAATAATTCGCTGTTCGGGCAGCCTATGCTCCATTAGAGGTATAAAGCGTAAGTAATTAGTAGTTAACTAAGAACATGATGCCGTTGGGATACAGATGTTCCGGAAAGCTAAATTATATTTATTATATTATTATTAAGAATATGGTTAGTTACGGGTAAATACTTCAGATATTTATTAGAATAAATATTGCACCACATTTATCTACAACACAACGGCTAGCAATAAACATCCTACTCCTAAAAAAACATGAATTTAACTAAAAAAAAATCCACATGCAATGTGTTGATTTAATTATTATTCATAGAATTATTTATTTTATCTTATTTTATCTCCAGTTTAATTCTATCTACAAGCTAATTCAAGTAGACAATTCGTGTGAACCATTTTAATGTTAACTTAAATTCCTATTTTCATAAACTGTTTTTTAAATTATTGATTTAGGATTAAATATAATTATTTATTTTTGTCGTTAAATTAACTTTTTAACGGAAAAAGTCTCTTGGGAATTCACGGCAAGATAACCGGTTCCGAAGGCAATTACAACCAATGTTCAAACAAAGATAAAATAAGGAAGTGGAAAAATTAACTAAATCACGTGTCCATTGCATGAATTACTGATCAGCTAAAAATAAATTTCAGTAGTTTATTTCTTTTGGAGTATTACCTGATGATAGGAAGTAGAAACTATTAGGAAAAATATTAACCACATAAAACTTTGTATTGAGGGTTAAACAATAAATATTTAACACCGAATAAGTAAAATAAACAGTAGTTCATGATGTCAAGGGGTTGGAGTCAGTCAGCAGGAAACCGAGAACTTATGACTAAACATACATGATATTGAATACTAGTCGGAAAATATTTGACCCTTATCTAAATATATGTTGAGTCGAATCGGTCAAAATTTAACTATTCATTAAGGATTGTAAGCACATTTTGGCGAACAAGGTTCACCAACCAACTTTTGAACCATTGTAGATTGAAACATATCCTTCACTGTCAAGCATCACTCAAACAAAAGGGTAGGCTCCAGTGCGCACAACTCCTACTACTCAATACAAAGAGGACAGTCAACTATAATCTTTGTTAATGTATGTACCTAATCCAAGTTACGTGTACACACATACATGGACATTACTTAACCCACAATAAGTCGTTCTCATTGACTGCATACCATGCCGTCGCGAACTGCTTCAAGCACACATTATGCGTAAGTCATTTTGACATCTATAAACACTAGTAAACCTACTTTATATAATAACCTAAACTAGTATAAGGTATTTGCCTGAAACCTTGTTAGTTACCTTTAACTATTACTTTGGTTTGCTGTCGTAGAATGTTTGTAATATAGGGCTATATGATTATTCTTATACAAAACTGTTTGGAAATCGATACTCAACTATAGACAGGAATAGAACTTACTGTCGTTAGATGTTAATGAGAACAATACCTTCATTAATCTACACAGTTAGCTTTAGAAATAATGAAACTTATGGTAACAATAATCATATATTGTTAGTGATATATGTGTTACACTTGGAGTGATTACTGGGTAGTTTGTGCGAACTAAACTAAGAGGTTCTGAAAACTGAATGAAGCTCAGAACTTTCAGCCAGTAGCTTAAAATGTCAACTACTGTTCAGTATGCTCGCTGGTCATAGGTTAGATTTCTGGTAGGGTGAAAAGAATTTGAAAGTTTCAAATTATTGCTAAAGATAAGGCGATTATCATTGATTTTTAGCTGAATATTAAAAGACAGAGTTTACTGCAGAAACTGGATGTCGGTAAATAGCATTATATAAAGTTTTCAGTATTTCGTATTAAAGTGTTTGAATGAATTGTACATTCATATTTTTGATGACTTTAATTTAAAAAATATCAGCTTTGTAAATTATCGAGTAACTTGAATTGTCACTTAGAAATAAAAGTTATTTAATTATCATTGAAATTATGAATCGATCTTTGTTAGACCACCATTATAAATCTGAAAGCAATGCACAGTTTTTCCGTCCTAGTATGGGACTCATTAGTAGTGCGCATCCACTAACCCCGCTTTCAGGGGTCAAACCAAAGACCTTCGGTCCTGCGTGCGAATACTTAACCTCTAGAACACTGGGCCGGCATCCAACGGTGTTATTGTTTGACTTCAATCAATCTCTGAAATTGCGCAACCTCATTCATCATAATTTCTATTAAAACTCATTCATTTACATCACTCTTTCATGAAAAATTATTTAATCATTATTTAAAAATAAAACCAATCAATTAATTAGTCACTGAACGTCTAAACCCATAGAGAATATTTCCGAAATCTGATAAAAATCAAGTATTTACTTCAATTAAAAGTGACTTCCTATTAGAAGCCAACAGACAAGATCAAACCTTAAAGTTCCAAGAAATAATACAAAGTAAAGCACCTATACTTTTTCTAATCAGCCCACATCCAGTTTCAACGTAAAAATGAACACATCAGACTATACAAAATTCAAAGCAACTTTGGAAATTTGTTTTATATATATATATATATATATATATATATATATATATATATTTATATATATATATATATATATATTTATATATATATATATATATATATATGCCGTGATTCAACTTACAATAAATCCTAAAATACTTTGAAATTCATTAAAATCCCAGGTACATTTAATCAATACTTGAATTTGATCAGATAAACAGAAAAACTCCCTTGGACTTAATAATGATTTACTTAGTAATACAGGATAATTCACTGTGTTCATGTGCATGATTGATGACATAATCATTTGTTTCATCGGAATATTTTGTAATTCCATAGGATTACCGCATCCAATCCCACTGTGAATTAATATAGATGATGATGCTTGTACCATAGAAGAGAATAAACTAGTTGTACTATAATCATTGATAGCCTTGATTGAAATTAAATAATACTTTCTTGGCATTAAATTTTTTAATTCTACATGTAAATATGAATTGTTTATGTTGTTTTTGTCATGTTTTACAAATAAGTTGAACAGTTGAGTATTTGCCATTTGATAGTCTATTGACCATAATTGATAAGTAATATGATACCAAGCAGGTTGACTATTCCATAAACGATCACTCAATACCTGCATATATAAAATAAAAATAAAAATAGTAATTTTTTTAATAAAAAAATATATAATTTTCCTTAAAGTTTAACAACAACTGAAATCAAAATAGCAGGCAAGCTAATCTTGACGAAAATAATCCATGGTGTCAGTGAAAGGCAGATTTAAAGACAATTCAGTGAAGAAATATTTCTTCTTTTTGACAATACGATTTACTGAAGTTAATTTATAAACAAATTAGTCTGTTGAAAGATAAGAAGAAGATTATATCATGCCATGTGTTAAGCGGAAGTTTACCAATAATCGAGAATTGGAGAGAGATAATAAGATGAAAGCAAATGTAAAAAGAATAATTATCCATTCAGCGAGTTTGAAAAGAGTAAAGAGTAAATAAAAGAGTGAAGGGGATAATAATTATTAATTGAAGATTTAAAAAACGTCAGAAGCGTGCAATGAGGCCACTTACAATTACTGGAGATTATGCGTTAGGGTCATGGTTGAAAATTGAGTTAAATGCGTCTCTTTCGTAACAATTCTGCAGTGCATAAGCTATTCATTTGTGTTCATTTTGAATTAAATCGTTAATCTTTTTATAACTTACTGAAAAGTAGTCTTTAATCATATTGCAACTTTTGTCTACAATGATTCTATCAGGTCAAAACAAAGATTTAAGAGATGGCATAACTTCTAAAACTGGTTTATAGATTATTATTATTATTACTATTGTTATATGAATAATTTCTAAGTAATTAGATTACCAGGTTTATACATTTCTTCTACCACAAACTTTTCGTTAATCCATAAACTATTGTCATATGATCTACTATTCTACTATTCTCCTCTTCTCAGCCACTTAGATAGGTTCATGCATTACTTGTCTTTTTTTATTTTATGGCGTGATGAGGTTGAGTATTGTGATATATTGTGATATATTATTATTATAGTGTAGGCTAAACACTATGTTCTAAGGTCAGCTGGCAACGTACAGTAGGGACTACCGAACAGAAGGCCGATAAGAACGTCAAATTGACTCAGAGCTACAATTGAACGCTAATATGCATTCGTTAGCTCGAAAACAAGATTACATAAATCAATATCCTGACTGGTGGTCTTACCACGTCAGTGAGTGAGCTACAAAGAGAATAGTTTCATTCAGTCTGTTAATACTAATTATACCCCATACTATACTGATTGTGGTCAAAGCAACTGACATCTAAACAGGAGTAAGTAAGTAGGCCAACTTAACTCTCATGCAAGTAACTTAAGCCTAAAGATGTAGGTTGAAAAACCATTGGAAATCTGAGGGTACAGCATAGCTGCTTCGTCTCAGTTTAGGAATTTGGAGTGTATAGTGTATATCTGCAACCTCCCAAGCAGGATTCAGACTCAGTGCCTTTAAGTTGGGATCCGAACGCCTAACGTATAAGCAACTGAGGAAAGGAGTTATGGATGTGCACTTTGGGGGACCCATACTAAGCTGAAACGGACTTAACTTAAATCGATTAGTGATTTCAAAGAAATTCAACTGTCTATCATTCTGAAAAGATTTTTTATTACTTTCACTAAGCTTCACTCTCTCAATTCATGCAATTTCTTATTTATATTTTTCACAATGTTATCATGTTGAATGAGATGATTTGTTTTATGAATTTTAGATACAAGTAAATAAGATGTTCTCTTTCTAAACATTATGTATTCTAGGTTATGACATAAATATGTTTACACTTTCAAATTTATGATCCACAGTAATAAAGTTGCTTTGCTTTTTTTCATTATTATTAGTAGAGTGTAAGTGGAATGAAGAGAAAGCTTTTACACTGTTAACAATTATATTCATAAAAATGATACAAAACATTTTCTGCATTCATCTCTTTATATATATTTAAACAATATTGTCATTATCAAATGACACTGAACAGTTCATATGTTGCGAAACATTATCTACAGAAACATTATGGTATTTTGATTTTCATTAGTCATATCATAACATAAGTAAATGGGAAATAACAAGTGAATCTGTAAAAAACATTAATGTCCATAAAATACATGTCATTTATTGTAGTAGAATTAATGTTCAACACAAACTACAGTACTTAATAATTGTCAACAAATATTCAAATAACAATTTAATGACTATTGGGTGGAAGCAAACAAAATTAACAGTACAATGATCAACACCTGTTTAGGAAGTTCGCGTAAATTCAATGGTTTAATAATAACCTTATTTGTCAGTCAGTAGAATTGATTTCGATAGATTATCAAATGTTATTCAAACCACAAATTGATCAAACTTAGACAGCTAATAAAATTCAGAAAGCATTTGATAGTTTTCCTTTAATAACATATTAAGATGAAACAACTATTCAGTGATTTCTGTCTTTTTTCCTGGTTATTTAACTTGGATCAGGCCGTAATCTCAGTAGCATTTAATAATCTCCAAAATTCTCTTTTACTGCTTGCTATATAACATATCTTCTCTAACAACTAGTTTGGAGAAATAATTCGCTGAGTGCTAGTGCAACATTGTGTAGCAGTTATCTAACTATGACATTTGAAGTTGAATACCAAATATCATGAATTAAATTATTTAGTCATGTCAGTTATTGAATAACACCTCAAGGATTCTAAAATTAAGAACTCATTTCACAGTCTGTAATGACTGAACCTTGAATGAGGATTGCTGTGGAATTGCGAACATTACTGGTTTTCAATGAATGTCTAGCTTCGTTTGGTTTATGATCTTCATAACCATGAAAATAATAGAAAATGATCATAGGTATACACTACAGTCCATTGCTAAACGCATGCTATAAGTGAATAATGATATTGGCCAACTTCTTAACCTTTTTACTACTTACACTTTTACTTATGTTCAAGAAAATAGTTGTTATCACACTAAACAACATAAGATATTAAAACTACATGTACCACACCATTTCATTATTCCATAACAGTATCTTCCATTTTTATGAAAAAGGACTGACATGGAAAATGTCAGAAAGAGGATTTAATACGACTACTTTGTACCGCGTCTTTATATCGGAGAAGATAATAGTGAATATTCCCATCAAAATATAGTGAATTCCAGTAATCATTTATCAGTGATTACTGGTAGGTCGAAGCTGAGGAAAAGTAAAGTAAGACCTGAGGTAACAATGGAAACCTCATTTCAGTATTTGATTAGTAATAAAATTTTAGAATAATTTATACGATAAAGAATAATGTTACATTCATAATATTCGTTATGAATTAATCTTTGTATAATATTATTACTTACTTTCCACTTTAACAATATATATTCACAATATTTCTGGGTTACAATCTCCCTTTTTCTATTTGAGATATGACTAGTATGTTGTGATATTTCAGGGTACAATTGTGATCTAAACTCAAATTCCAGTTTAAGCGGACTATAACATGGTCTTTGTGGATTCGTTACCAAAATATCAGTTTGTGGACTGAAAGGACTTACTCCAGCATCAGTTTGAGCAGCTAGACGAAAAATGTACATTTTATGTGGTTGTAGCCTAAAAGAAAAGATATGAAAATAAATCTGACGTCGTCAAATATTAAAATATTCATGACAAGAGGAATCTACGATAAGCCTTAATCTTATTTGTTTTGTATAACAACTTTTATACCAAAATAATTTATATATATATATATATATATATATATATATATATATATATATTTATATACATCTATATATGGACTGGATGTTAGTCTAGGTTGGCGGCAATAATCTCAGAAATCTGCGGTAATATTGATGTCACCTAGGATGTTTAAGTTCTGAAAGCATTGTTGATCCACCGTTCAACTAAGTAGTTCGTCTTTGATTTGATAAACTTTTGTCAAATAAAATCAATCGAATCACACATAAGTCTTCAGCATACAGGCTCATACAAGCTCAACAGTAATAAAACTACAATGGTCTAAATAAGTTGTTGCTGCATGAATAACGCTCTATTAAATAAATTAATGAAAGGGCTTCACCGAAGTAAATGTAAACAAACTCAACTGCTTGGTAAGTGTTATATGTCGTGTCTGTTCTTCGGAATTTAGTAGGGCTTTTAGAGAAAATTGGAGTCTTTCTGCTACTAGTTTCAAATAATTATCATCAGACGGTAACTTAGCCTAAGATTAAACGTAACGGTAGGTTAATATATTCTTGGTCATTAATAAAGTAAAACAATGATCCATAAGAAATTTATTGACCACTATGCAACTTTTTTATTTTAATACTAATGATAAAAACGATTTTACTCATTCTTTTAGGGTCTTCAGTATAACTCAATTATCGCCACTAGATGTAAAATATGTGCTAACGATCGCCTACAGTCTGTTTTGACCAGAACTCATCAAGAATGTCGAGAAATCTAAAAGATCAGGAATATATCACAGAGTGCTGGCCAGATCAGTTTACCGGTTCTTGTCAACGTCAGTGAGAACGAACACACATCACTAAGTTGCATGCTATAGACAGAGACATGGGGGAGAGGCTCTGTTATGTACTTCTGTTAACTAATACATTCTGTTGCCTACTTAGAGCTTTTATACTAACCAGTCACATGGTTATTATTGTAACATAATCTAAGTTGAGTACAGTGGCACAGTGTGATTTTGATAAATGCTAGGAGGTTTCAGCATTCCCTTCCAACTCGAGCAGATTACCTACGTTGATGATGGACAAGACTCTGAGAATATTTGTTCTACTTTTGTAACTTTATTTGACTCAGCGTTTTTAAATGACTAATTTAATTGTAAATTTATGAAATAAAGATTCGGGGATTGACTGATCCATTGTTACTATGAAATCCCAATACAAAATATCATTTTAGATGAAATTGGAGAGATTGCGCTAACATTTAGCTCACGACATTATGTAGTGTTCCGTACAGTGAAAGTATAGCTAAACCTGTACTCTATGCTTGCTACATCAAAAGAAAAACAGGACATAACATTGAACAAAACTTCAAGTAACTTTTTATTCGTCCATGATTATATTTAATTTGAAGAATTATCTTTTATTTAGATCAAAATCATGTCATTTTTCTGTTATAACTGTGTCACAAATAAATATTGACGAAATCAGTGATGTGTGATTTTTATGCACAATCACCTGTAAATACAAAGCGGTTTCAGAAAATTATAAAATAATTCTGTTGTGTGCAAGAATTTGGACTAACCTCAATCGTCTCTTAAAGTGTGAGACAGTTATCCAGTGACTATAATCAGGGTTGAATATACAATATAGCAAATTGGGAGGTGTTTAATTTTGGCTAGTAGCTTAGTGTTTTAGAGATAAAGCAATCACGAACGAGATTGGAGTAGAGAGGAATGTAGTACCGGAAAAATACAACTAGGCATGTAACTTAGTTTTCATTTAAGCGCTTGTCAATATGATTTCAATCTTTGAAATTTCATTTTTACAAAAATATTTATTGGTTTGACATTTTGTTTACCTGTGGAAAATAACTAGTTCATTTTAAAGTTGACACCATGGTGTGAAAATAAAATGATACTTTTTTAAGAAATAACTTGTGAAATGACTAGGAAAATTATAATGTGAATGCATAGGCCTGTCCAATAAACCAGTTAAATTTATTATTAAATGGCTAAATGATTGTCATCAAGTCCTTTAGCGTTAGGGTATCGCGCTTCATATTTCAACTTATACACTAGTGAAAATAACACAGAAAATTGGAGATGTTATGTTTTATTTTGAAATAAACATTCAAAACTTTAAAGAATGGAAATTTAAGAAGTAATGAACTAATTCAGGAAATTGTATTTCATGCTATTTTTGTGGTTGATTTAGGTTAAACCATTATCAGAAAGCTGGAGGCACAGGAGAGAGGTTTTTTCTTAGTATGGGACCCATCAAAAGATTGCATCATAAAACGTCTGCACTCGGAAATCAAACGCAGGCTCATCGATCTTGTACACGAACTCTTAACCTCTAGACAACTGAGTCAGGATCTAGTGACGTCTACGTCTAACTTCAATCAATCCACGATGTTGCGCGACTTTCATCCATAGCCTGTGGTAGGTAACTGGACTACATTGGTCACAACATCTCACTTGAACTCCAGTAATACACGATGAAGCTTGTCACCAGTGAGCCGGCGATTTGTGGAGATGATACTCGATTCAGTGGTTTTGAAGTTAAGCACTTGTGCTCAGAGGTTGTAGATGCTCACTGCTCATGAGTCCAATACTGGGACTGCATCTAAGCTTTTAATGGTATTCTAGCTCAGATCAACTCTTGATTTCAACTATGAAAATACAACAATCTCTTCAAAACCAATTTATTAATTTTATGTTATTATCTAGAAACGTGTTTATTTCCCAATATTCATAGTGCTCATAGTACCGTCAAACGGAAATACCAGTAGAAGCAATAGATAGTGATATTTCTTTGATCAATAAACCATCTAATAAAAATGCTAACTTACCTATCTACTACGAAATCATTCACTTCATCAACTTGTGGTGATGGTTGATATGTTTTCCATCTAATAGAACCATAATTATTTTCATTGAAATAATTATTCATTATTTCTGCATACTGTAAAGTATAATTTGTCACAGGAGATGTATACATTAATCCGGAACCATATTCAGCTGTTTGATTTGTTTGTAAATGACGTAGATAATTTGGCCAAGACAGATGAGCTGTAACAATAGGACATATTGTATTTTTATATTGTTTCTGCATGAAATTATCCTCTGATATTTGTATTTTAGGTGATATCGGACGTTGTCGTGGTAGTGTTTGAGATAATTCAACAGTTGTTACATAAACCTGAAAGTATAAATATTATTCAGTTATCGTTAATGTGATTAATTTCCACACAAAGAATTAAAATATACATACTTTTTCACTTTTCGGAGATAATTTTTCACAATACCTTTTGTTGGATCACTTTTAGATCAAAATGGACGAAATTAGTTCATTTTATCTTGTTTTCACATTCACTCAAATCTGTATAATGTCTTAAAGTGTTTTTTTGAATGAGTTTCTTACAACATTATTTAAACAAACTGAATGATTGAAATCTTTTTTGTTTCTGAGATAAAAATTCTTATAGAATCAGAATATCTAAGAATACGAGTACATTGAGTAGTAAGTTGTATTCATGTTCAGTTGACCCAAGTCATATATACACTGACAAATTACTGACTGATAGTTTTTTTTAAACATTTATAAGTAATTTGGGGTTACGCATGGTACGGTAATAATGAATCAGTTTCGTTTAAGAGCGTATTCAAATTAGTTAAAACTATAAAAACTGATTAAAATAAACTGAATAAATTGAGACTGATATCTAGAAAAATTGATCTCCTTTTAGCATAGTCAGATAGTTTCCAATTGTAGAGTACTTTATGTACGTTTTACTGTATTTAAAATCTATCCGCTAAATTTAGTTGCATTTAAGGGTTTCTGATCATACCATGACTCAAACTCTATGTCATTGGCTTCAAACACCAAGCACATCACTTCACAAGCCCATAAGTTCAATTAACTTGTCCAACAGAAATGAATTACGATTCATCAAAAAATATCAGCGCTGCAATTCACATGCATTCAGCTGATTATTTCCAAACAAGATAACAATTTTATCCTGAATTTAACTGCTATCTACCATGCAAGTTTGCTAAAAGCTTATGAATGGATAAAAGAACTTTATTCAAGGATGCATTTTAGGCTAAAAGATATCAGTCAATGAAAGCCGTTTATATCGCTGACAAGAATATAGTAGCTAATTCAGATAATGAATAGGCGAATTCATCATCAGTAAAATTAATGATCCTGTCGAATCAGTAGAAAAACTCATAATCTCACAATTTGTTGTATTCAAAACCTTGAAATCTATAACTTTGTATCCTATGATTGATTATCATAATTCAAGTGAATTTTCTCATCGCACATAAATCAATTCTTAATAGTATCAAACAATTTTTTTTTCTTAAATTCACTTACTAATAATTCAGCTTTACTTGAACAATATAAATTCTCATCATGTACAGAAGCATTCATTGTTTGATTCGAGTTTAATTTGATTAATTCAAATAAATAAGTTGACTCCATGAATAGTTCGTCGATAACAATTAAATATTCTGAATATTGATGTTGGTGTTGTTGTTGTTGTTGCTGTTTCAATAATGTAATTTCCGATAATTTCATTGTTTTAATAAGATTATTTACATTTGGCCAACTAATTAATTTTGTTAATGGTAAACTTAAATTCGCATAGGTTATAGGATCAATTCGTGTCCATTGTAAAATGAATAGATTTGTATAGGGAAATATTAAATTTCTAGTTAACGTATTTGGTATCCAACTAATTAATACACGAGCTTTTTTCTGTTTTGACATTGGAATAATTTTACGCAGTAATAAACGATGTTCTAAAACAAAGAAATCAATAAATTACTAATCATAATATTTCTAAGACATTGAACATGTTACATTGAACGCTATCAGAACAAACTATAACAAACTAAAACAATGTTAAACGTGGAGAACCTTAAATAATCTACCTAAATAATTAATGTACACCTAATAATGATGAGTATAAAATCATTTAAATGAACTGCCTGTTGACTGAAAATTTTTCTTTGTTGAATATTATTTTATGTATTCTTACGAGTAGTATTTAACTCACTAATCAGATTGCTTTTATTTGAACTAATCTCCTTAAACAGAAACAAACGTTGAATTAGCTAAAGCTATTATTTTTATGTCAATGGTGTTGGATTTGAAATAAACGAAGTCTAACTTGAAGATTCATTTACAATATAGAACTTCGTACATACGTACACCTGCTCAAGTAGGTATACCAGCTAAGCACAAATAGATGCACTTGTCAGTTCAAATCCCATAGTAGTAGAGGTAGTAGCAATATTAGCGGTAATTGAAAAGATTAGCTACCAAAGATATAATGCGAGAAGTATAATCCAGTTAAATAAATGTTAGCAGTGAAAAAAAAGATGGGAGGTTCAGCAGTTTAGAATTTAAGAGAAGACAAAAAGTAAATGGACCCACGTCATTGAAAACGATTTTGGGTCATATCATTTAGTCTCTGATCATCAGTTACTATTGTCTCGCGGACCCCAACAAAGTAGTCATCATCTATCCACATAGCTTTAATTGCAAAAAATGTAACAGTAATATGTATTACACTGTATATACATGCATGTAGTGTTGAAACATATATTACCTTAACATTAATACAATCGAGTTTTATATATAATTTTTTGAAGAACATGCAAAAGTTCATTAGACTTGTCAAATTGGTTGATATAGTCAAACAACATTTTCAGTACATGTAAAACTCTTGAAATACAGTATAATTTCCAATTAATCAAGTTCTCAATGTTCTATCGTTACTAACGTTTTGGAGTGAAATTCAAATTATGATTATGTTGACTTTTGGTTAGTTGAACAGTAACCTTCAGACAATATTAATTTAATATTGTCTGAACTATTTAAAACTGAGATGGATATCATGTAAATATGAAACAGTATTAACTGTGATAATTACCATCACAAATACATCATTTGTTCTTAGTTAATTGTATTTACTGCATCAATTCCAGATTCATAACTAAATATTCACTTGAAAGTCTTGTTTTTTGGGTGGTTTACCTCAATAAAACAGCGTGTCAAACAACTAATATATTCAGCTTCTTTCATCAATTTTGTTGAAAAAGCCACTAAAAAGATGATGAGGTGTAGATGAAGTTATTCTAATACATGACTGAATTCTGCTTCATCAGTTTAGTGATTGAGAGCATTTACACAAGACCTGGGGACTCGAGTTCGACCCTTGTTTGGTGAATGCAAAATCTCAGATAAGTTCCATACTAGGACGAAATAACCGTCCTGTGGTTCCTCATTTTCAGTTGGTGCCTGACTTAGGTTGTTTCTTCACGCCGAAAGCATTCAATAATTTCCACTAACCTCTAATTGTTATTTCCGATTGAAGATTACAGTTATTATTATTGTTATTATTATTATACATAGTGTTATTGTATAATTATTAATACAACCTAGATTATCAAGTTTATATATTTCTTTTTATCACAAGCTTTCAATTAACTTGGATTCGTTGGCCAGCCACTAACAGCAGGAACTTACTGTGAGAGAGAACCAACCAGATTCTAGTGGAGGAGGAAATCAGGAAGAAGTGGAAGAAGTGGATAGGACACACACTGCAAAAGTCACCGAACTGCGTCACAAGACAAGCCGTCACATGCAACCCTCAAGGTCATAGGAAAAGAGGACAGCCAAAGAACATATTACGCCCAGAAACAAAGAAAGACATGAGAAGAATAAACAAAATCTGGACAGAACTGGAAAGGGAAGCCCAGGACAGAGTTGGTCGGTGAATGATGGTCGGCGGCCTATGCTCCATTGGGGGTAACAGGTGTAAGTAAGTAAGTACGTTTCAATTAACTCACATATTATTATCGTACGATTCACTAATCTTATTCTGTTGCTAATTTATTACTTACAGTCTTCCCTTCACACAACTATTTTTGAGTCATTCATGTATAGTGGTTAGTTTCTTTCTACTAGTGTGATATGGTCTGGTTTCGGTATGCATAAACATGAATGTCTGGAATATCTTGATCTTAATCTAGAACTGGTGACCATTAGTTTTTTGTTCTTCTTCTGCGTTCAGGGATGAATAATATATTGGGCTGAACTGTCAAGCATTGAGCATCAGTCCTCCCTCCCTCAGTGCTTATTGGTCACCCAAAAGTCTTTTGAACATATTTGTCAGTGTTTGAACGTAGCACCGATGTAGTTAGGTTCAAAATGAACTGAGTTATAATATGTTAGAATAATGTTTGTATAGCAAAAACATTAATTTACTTAATTAAGCATGATGATATATTGGTCATTATTAATTACATAAACATTTCGGTTGAAATAAACAACAAAATATTACTTACTAATTTTCTCTTCTTCAAGATTTACATAAACTATAGCCTGTTCAGTGTTTTCCTTTATCGGTTGACCAATTACATTTAATTGAAATTTCAAAATTCCATTAAAATAACACATTTCACTTGAATCCAAAAGCGTATTCAATGGAAGTTTCAAGATATTTTCATAAAATGAATCAGTAGACTGTAAAGTTTTACTGCGATTTAAATTTGTATCATTGAATGAAATAAATTTTACATAGTTGACATCATCGTCACTGTGAAATGTTTCATTAAACCATATTTTGTTGAAGATTAGCTAAGAAATCAGTAGACATATAATCAATAATGCTAGTTTTTTTAAACTCAGTCAAACAACAGTAAACATTTATTCATGTCTAGTTAACGAAATATTATTATGACATTCAAGCTCTAGTAAATTCCATCCATTTCTGTCATCAACTTCATGAGACAGACAATAATCTATATGAAACAGGTAATTCTGCTGCAGTGGTTAATGCCTGGAAACGACATATTAAAATTTAGTTCCTAGGGCTAATTAAATTTTTGCAAATCTTTTGATACCAGACTGCTACTTATGGCAACGTTCCGTTTAATATTCATAATGTAAAACTAAGACCTTGTTTGTGTGTGGTTATTTATACCTGGATAAATTTTGGTAGAAAATGTCTACATTGCATTGTATCTAACTGTCATTTCTATAGTGCAACTTTTTCAACTTAATGTGGATATCACAAAGTTCTTATTTAGTTTCAACTTGTAAACGGTTAAATTTTAGTACAAGGGTGTTGTAATCGATACTCTGGTTAGACTGTTATAAATACAACTATCATTTCGTTTATAATTATTGTATATTGTGTATTAAAATAATAATTCGAGTTAGGATGATATAAAAGGCGCATAATTCTCAACTAATTTACCTAATTTACCTAAATATTTCCACTCTTTGGTTAAACATTTTTATTTGATTTAAATTTGACCGACAGTATGAAAGAGAAAATTCATCAAGTAAAAACAGTAACTTACTTGATAACTTGGCAAATGTCCGCATTCGACTTTAAGACTCTCTTTCCATTTCATGACTATGTAATCTGCTTCACGCAAAACTTTCAAATTGTATGGAATAAATTTTAAAGTTCGCATCCAAGTTAGAAATTTTATATCTTCCTTATCTTTTGCATATTTATAAACTGATAAAGCTTGAGTAACAGTTTGTGGACCCAATAACCATTTGTCTGAATTTTCGTTTTCTACACTTACAGCACGTATACCTACTGCATAATCTTTATCGGGTTCTAGATCCTCGATAATATATGAGAAAGCTGTACTATCATTAATAAATATTTGTAAATAGTCTAAACCACATTTTCCTTGAATAACTTGAATATTGACTGTTTCATTTGTATGATACTTATGGTTGGGATTAGGATAAGTTGTCATCAAATGAAGTGCATGTTTGGTTTCAGCTTTCTGAACTGTAATTAAATAACCGCTTGGAATTCCATTCCATTCTTCTGGAGCAAGAGGCTAAATTTCATCAATGAAAATTTCATAATCAAATATTTTTTCAACAAAAGCATTTATGATGAATAAACTCGTAGTTTTTAATCATTGGAAATGTTACTGTATTATTGAGCGATACTGACTTATGTCGCTGAAACTCCTCTCCATCTAATATAAATCATTTATTCATACTCCGGTGACTGTAACAAGTACGAATGTTTACTTTGATTGAAAACATTCAATCCTTAAATTTTATTGAAATGTCTTATTTTGAGCGTGTTTACTGATGTAGAATGTATGTAGTTTGTCCAGTAAATGATCTGAACTGAGGTAATGAACTTTCATAGAAGTCAGGCTATTTAGCCAACCAAACGTTCCATCTTCCTCAGCAATTTGACGTGGTAAAACACAGTTCAAAAGTGATAATTGTGACATATAATCGGATCATAGAAAGTGTAAGAGAATTAATCTTTTTATTGTTTTCTGGAGTATGATCATCTTTCTAGATTTGATAAATCCTCACAGTCATCACAAGCGTCAATAAATAAATTGATACTCTCAAGAACATCTATCTTCTTTGAATCATCATCTCTGTAATAAACCTTCAACATGTCATTCACGTTTCTTTAAAACATCTAAATAGGCTAATGTATGTTTTAATTATACACTGTTAGGTTTAACATATAGAGCTTTAGATCAAAGGCTTTATTCATGATAACTGCAAACCTGAAAATCTAATTTTTAATTCCAGTATGATAATTTGTTTATAGTTATGAAAATGATTGCGATAACTCTAATAAACCACTGAATCAATTACTGATTTTATTAGGGGTAAACTTGCGAATTGTTTTCTTTGACATTTTCAATTCTCTTTCATAATTATTTATAAAAAAGTTGAACACTTCCTTAGGATAAAACTTGTGTTTTAGCAATCAAATTAACTCGTTCTAACGTTAACCTAATTTATGGGCAATCTTTGATAATTTTCTTCTCTACTACTAGTCGAATTCACAGTTCAAGAGAGAGGAGATTTATTTAAAAGATTCAAGTACGACAAGATGAATTGATCTATGCTGAAAATAAATTATTCTCTTGGAACGCAAAATTTTATGCAAATATTCTGAATCGAGTAATGATCAATGTACAAAATCCATTCAACAAATTGTTTGGCTTTAAAACAATTAAACATTTATCAACGGTTTTTGCAAAACATTTTTTATGTCTATAGTTATTTGGTCTACTACATATGGCTGGTCATTATTACTATAAACAAAGTAAAACTACATGTAAACATGATATGATATTTAAGAATAAAGAAGCTTTTTACATACTACCAGAAATCATAAAGCTTTACTTCTGTCTAGACAGTAATTAAGAACTAATTAAGCACTTTTTTTGAAAAAGATAGAGATGGTCTTTATGCTAGTAATTATATTTATTACAGAAGACTTTGGAATTATATATGAAAGTGTTTTTTTTTAAATGTACTAACTATCAATAATTAAAAGATTGTAATATAATAATAATGATTTGAAAATAAACCCAGTCATGCAAAGATTTCGAAAAAAAATGCGATTGTTAATAATTATCTATTTGAAATTCGACTTTTCTACTCAGTAGTATATTGCAAAAGTTTTGTTTTTGTTATTAACAGTTTACTCTATTCTCACCTGAATAGGGATTATTTAGGTAAATATTGGTAATGATATCTATTTAGTGTCAATATTTTAATATTGATATTGGTAAAGTATAATGAAAATTTATGTTTTTGTTTTAAATAGTGTGTTTTAAACTGATCTCTAACTGAAGACTAATAATAAATTCGTTTCTTTTATATTATATCAGTTTACTGACTAGGTACTCATTATGTCACAAGTGTGTTTTGACTTTTTTAAGCTAATTACATGTCCATTTTGAAGTTCACTTGACATCGATCGCACAAAGGTTTTACTGTCCTATCCTAATGAAATTTTCGTAGAATTAAAAATGTAACCAGTGTCAGTGTTTCTCTGAAATCATAAACCTATCAAGATTAGACCACCTTTGAAAGCCTGTAAACACAAGGCGTCCATTCCATTAGTCAGAATCGCACTGGTCGTGTGAAAGCACTGCTTAAGAAACTATACTGATAGTTTCAAAGTTATAAAAAAATCTTTGAATGGACTATTATTTACGTCCAGAAAGAAATCGTTGTACAGTTCTTGCAATTATATATGTAAAAACTGAATTGCTAAAGAGGAGTTTCATTATAAAAAAAACACCTAACAAAACCCCTTTCTAACATCTTATTTGACAATATGTATACATACATATACTTATTAAAAATTGAAGACAGATATTTTAAGATATAAATGAACTAAATTCATTTATTGGAGACAATTCCTTACTTTACCCATTATTATATCACAAATCAAGTGAAAAATAACCGTTAAGTTGTTACTTCGTAAATAACCTATGAATTTGAGTAGATTGAAATGCATACAGAACAACTCTTCGTACTCTATTAATGTAAAGCTTTGTATTTATTCGAAAGATGTCGACGATGTAGTTTGCTACAGTCTTTTCCCTTCATTATTAGTTTTAACCTAAGATTATGAAAAAAGATTAGCTACTCCGATAACTGCTTTCATTATTACTGAGCTTCCTTCAATTCAGAAGTCTTTTTATATAGATTCCCGTAGATTTTGCACTATATTATCGACATTTATTTAGAAAGAAAATTAAATTATGAATAACATCTAGAATGATATTACATAGTTTAGCAAGTAATCTAAACATTAAAAAGAAACCTTCAAACATTTCAGTGTATGTTCAGAGCTATAAAATAATCTGATATTCAATTATGTATCAACAATTGTCCATACGTTGAGTCTGAAATGAATACACACGATGAAAAACAAAATCAAACAGAAGATAAATGGTAAATTGACGTCATTTTAATAAAGTAAATAAATGCATTAAGGAAAGTGAAAAAAATATGAAATTTTCGGTTTGAGATGAAACATACAATAGGAATATAATGATTCAGACTTCAAACAGATGGTGCAGCTAGTATTAACTGATATGACGAGTATCTCTCAACTACTTGTTTTAATGAAAGTTAAAGAGCACTTTTTTGATTGTCACCTATAATTTTCATTGTAGGGTTGTAGAGAATGTTGAGTTACTTTCAGATCATGAAGCGATCACTTTTAAACTACCATCAGAAACCTGAAAGCATTGGATGGCCATTTTGTCTTGGCATGAGGCTTATCAGTAGTGCACATCCATGATTCCCGAAACTCGCAAGAATCGGACTCAGGATGTTTGGCCTTGCTTGTAAACGCTTGAATTCAAGACGACTGAGCCAGAGGAATCCATCGTTGCTAATGCATCTCTTCGATCGATCCACAGTCTTGCAAAACCGCGTACATTGTGTTCGAAAACCCCACTTGTCAAGACTTCTCACTAGAACTTGGAGAAGAGACCTCACTTGTGATCGAAGTTATCCTTTACGCCGTTGGATGCATGTGGCTCAGTGGTCCAGAGGATAAGTGTTCATGCATGAGATTGGAGGTCTTGAGTCCGACCCTCGCGAGCGAAATTTACAAGTGAGTTTAATACTGGGACAAAATGGTAATTTAGTCCTTCCAGGTTTCTAACGGTTGTCTAACACCGATCGATTCATGATTCCAAAGTTGCTTGTGAATAAATTACTTTGTGTAAAGTAAACATTCTTGATTAAGCAGCAGTATGCGTATTAACAATGCGAGATAAAATTTGAACTCAAGACGATTCAAACTGACAACGACGAAATGATGGTATCCTTCGACGTAACAGCCTTATTTACCTCAATAGAGCCAAGCTTAGCTAAAGAAACTCTTTCTCTGCTCCTCATCAACGACACAAATCTACACAAATATACAAAGCTTCAGAGTCAAAGTTTGCTTGAACTCATCGACCTATGCTTAACAACGTATCTTCAGTTCAACAACAGAGTCTACGAACAAATAAAAGGAACACCAATGGGATCACCAATATCGAGACTCATCGCCGAAGCTGTAATGCAGAGACTGGAAGCGTCGATTCTGCCAGTCATCAAGCCAAAAATGTGGGTTCGCTATGTAGACGACACATTCGTTATTATCAAGAGGAATGAGCTGGAGAACATCTACAATCGGATCAACAACGTCTTTGATGACATCAAATTCACTATGGAAAAGGAATCAAACAACAGCCTATCATTCCTGGATGTACTAATCACCAGAACTAACACAGGGAAACTAGAAACTCAAGTATTTCGGAAGCCAACCCACACCAACGTAATTCTCAACTACGACAGCAACAACCCAAGAACACACAAGATTAACTGCATACAAACTCTGTTCAAGAGAGCGAAGACACACTGCAGCACATACGAAACATTAAAAAACGAGGAAAAACACCTGATAACTTTCTTCCAAAAGAACGGCTCTCCACGCAACTTCATCAGAAAACATCAACCAAAACCATCATCAGAAGTGAAATCAAGCACAGAAACAAATAAACGCATCATCCTACCATACATCAAAGACATATCGGAGCATACGACACGACTACTGAAACCATTTGGAGTAGGTGTGGCACACAAACCAACAGAATCACTTCAGTCAATCCTATGTAGACCGAAGGACAAAATGACAAAGAAGAAAAACCAAATATCATCTACAAAATAAATTGCTCAAACTGTGAAAAACACTACATAGGACAAAGTGGACGGCCTTTTAAGCTCCGTTTATGTGAACATCAATTAGCAGTCAAACGCCACAACAACGCTTCGCTTATATCAATACACACCGACAATTATGGACACACATTTGATTGGAACAATGTGGAAATACTGGGTAGGGGGAGGACAAAGAACACTAGAGAATTTTTAGAAGCTTGGCACTCAGGCCAATCAGCAATCAACAAACACATCGACATTGACCCAATTTATCAACCAATCAGGAAAATCATAGGTGACACAGGATCAAGAAACAGATCAAAAGGGGGAGGCAATCAAAACATAGTTGCAAACAACGACAGGTCAAAGGTCAACAGCAACCAATCAAGATCGAGGTTCGCAGAACAAGCTACAGGTCAAACGTGGAGAAATTCGAATGCTTCACTTCTATCTGAAGTTTGTGCTGATGATGTTGTTCAGAAGAACAATGAAAGCTCCACAACCAAAACAAACAGCTCAGAGAACGAAGCACCACCACAATCAATTCACGTTTCCATACCACATCAGCCTAGAGATGGAATTATCGATTCAAACCCATAGTAGTAGAGACAGTAAAAGTATTACTGGTAATGGAGATGATTAGGCTTCGAAGATAGTATTCGAGAAGTTTTAGAAAGAAAATATAGACGTGATGAGGAATTCAAAAGTTTAGAATTTGTCAGAAGACACAGAAATACTCAATCATGAAATAAACTCCCTACTATTAAAATAAATATGTCACTGATGAGATCAGTTATGTGATGAACATCAATTTCCATAAAACCATCCCCCTTCCATTATCAATAACAAAATGAAACAGTGAAAAATTCCACCAAGAAAAATTTCCAACTAAAATATAATCCGCAGCCATCCTTAAGTCCAAAGAAAAACAATCGTACTGTTGTGCACTTACAAAAGCTTAGTAAAATTTTTATTAGCCCTGCTTTGTATTTTATTAGCAGATTGTGAAAAATAAATCAAAAAGTAATAAATACATGTGAAATTGATTCTTTAATCATTTTATTAAATTATTAACTCAAAAAAGTAATCTGATTTCATATTTCCACATATTCGAATGTCAATTTAAAAAAATCTCAGCGTGTTTAAACAAAAATTTTTGTTTATGAAATCAGTAATATTTACAAATATTCAACCATTTAAAATAAGTTGCTTTTGAAAAAAAAACAAATTTTTGGAAAATATATTGTAATAATAATTTAAAATTCATTACTACTATATATTATTCAAACATACCTGCCAAATAATTTTCATTTGATTTAAATTCAACATATAAGTAGATATCAATGATGGTGACACAGTTGGCGATTGACATTGAATTTTAAACCATTTCGATGAATTCGAATGCAATAAACTTTTACTAGTTATTTGTTTGTAATTACCAAAAAGTAAACCAATCGGTTGCCAAACTTCTATTCGATAATAATGATAACTATGTAAATTGAGTAATTTAAATGATAACGATAAGTGAACACGTTGATTAACATCAAATTTATTTGATTCTGCTTGACTAGTATTGTATTTATGCGCTGTAATGATTTGCTAGAATTTATTTGATAATTTAATGAATTCAGAAATAAAAATATTATTCATACAATCGAACATTTTGTATATATATTTATAGGAAAGAAAAATATAACAAAAAGGGTTATATTCTGTCGTTTTTAGTAATTACGTTTAAACGGTTAAATCTAAAACTTAGCTAATTTACGACAAATCAGATATTGCAGCATTCAATGGAAATAGTAAAGCCTTTAGAAATATTTCTCGACTTTGTTTTTAAAATAAAATTGTCATATTTGACATATTGATTGAAGATCGTTAAATTCGTTAATAAATGTTGAGGTTGTGCAAACTCCTAAGAGTGATCAAAGTTAGACTTGAGGTTAAGCGTTCTCGTGGATGCTCACTGCTGATTAGTACTATACCAAGAATAAACAGCCGTCCACTACTTCTAGATCTTTTATGGATGATCTAACAAGGGTTCATACAGGGTTTCAAGGTCAATCGACCATCTCCATGATACCTTAATGCAAAATATATAAATAAGCTATGAGAATCAAAACTGTTCTTCATCAGGAATAGTTACTTTGTAAGAGTTGTAATAACGATGTTATTAAAAATTCATTCTGTAGTAAAGTAGGTTAACGAGAATGGAGCCAGAAAACGTCGGTCTAGCAGGCTTCATCAATTTTTAATTTTTTTGGGGAGAAATCATCAAAAATTATTTGAAACTGATTTTTAACTAATAATACTGTTAAAACGGTCTAAATGATAAAAAATTATTTATTGGTTTCTTTTAGCGGTAATGCTATGTTAGTCACTAGATATATTGTTAACATTCTATGACTCAAGCGTCAACAATCTCTGCAAGACCTACAAATCAGTGACTTATTGCATATATCATATATCATATATCATATATATATAATTGTTTACAAAGAATGAAGGGGCAAAAATCTAAGTACAGCATGAAAGTTTAATTTTGAAATATAACTCTTATTCCGTCTTGATACTTCACGTATGATAAATAATTACAATGTTACAAAATATTAAAATTTCATTGTACAGAAAAAAAGCACTTACCCAATTCCATGAATTTATATGATTATTACCATTGACAGCTTGATAACCATTCAAAGGAGTTTGTTGTACTCTAATTGGCCACTTACATTTTTCAATTAATTTTATTATTCGGGCGAAATCACCGACAACTGGTGAAGATGCATTTGAATGAATTGAATTTGAAACGTTATCGTCTAATTTTAGATCGAATTCGATTAAAAATTCTGCATCATGAGCCTGTTGTAATAGAGTGTGTCAAAAGGAAAATATTGATGGGGAGAAAATGAGCATTTTTGAACTTTAACAAAGAGCAAATAATTCAGGTTTAGCCTACTGTAATGTCAGTTTCTTTGAACTTTAAAAAATCATAGTAATGTTAGCCTACAGTTTTAAAATGGGTAATTGTTCAGTTAGCTTAAAATTCACAAAAAGAAACAAGTTTAAACTAACTATAGAATTAAAGTAAAAAGTTTTAACTAAAAGTGTTGTTCAGATAAAATTTAGGCATAGGCACGACTTCAAGTATAGGTTTTTCTAAATCAATGAAGGCTGAGAAGTAACAAATTATCGTCATGAAACATATGCACTGCAGTAAATGACATACAACACTGTACATGAATATAATGTTACTTGAAGACATTTGTACATGATCAGTGATTTGTGAACTAATAAGGTAAACACGTTCGGGTTATATTTTATGTGACAAATTAATTTATTAAATGTGTTGCTTCAAATTAAATTGATGAGACGTTTTTATAAAACTTCTTTAACTAGTATTTTACAGTCTAAGACTTTATGTTTGATGAGTTGTATTCTAAATTAGTTCAACTGACTATTTTAGACAACAAAGAAATTGTTCGTTTTTCCGAGTGCTAAACTGTTCGATAGTTATGATCTTTTCAACAATAATCGAAGAGATTGACTCACCAACTTATTAAAAATTTTGTGACAATTGACATATATATTCGCTGTTTTACAGTAGAAGAGAAATGTTCAGTCAACACTGAAAGCAAAAATGAAGTAATGAAAAATAATAGGTTGGTGGCTAATTGAACTCAGCAACTCAATGGATAATGCACTGACAGCTGAAGCGGCATTTGAATCTCAACTTGAACATTAACACAGCGATGCGTGTGTGCCAATCCGGTGAGCATCAGGTTTGACGAAAAGAGTGTCATAGTTTCCGCTAATAGTTATAGTTGATCCACGCTGTATAAAACATGTAACAAAATAGCTAACACGGGGCAATCTGTATATCGGTATGTATCTTGGCCCGTCTGATTTATAGTTGTAATAATTTACATAAAACAGATTCATTTCGACTGATCTATCGTATATCTCCATCATTTCCAAACGGAGTCCGATTGTGTCTTCTACATATAGCAGGAGCCATTGAAATCCAAACATTCAACTGGAAGTTATGTGTTCAGAAGAAATTCGTAAAACCCCAGTCCCTTCCTTGGCCAGATAAAGCTTAATAAACGTTTTTATTTTATTAATATAAGCATTATTTTCTCATCCTGTATTTGTTTGTCTTTCGTTCTTGCCTCCTTCCGTTTATATTCTTTACTATCTAATTATTTACAGACATATTATCACGTAATTCTAATAATGCTTTATGATCACTATTCTAAGCCTATTTATCAAATTCTGACCTACTGCTACTACAACACCTATGTTCCTACTGTCAACTTGTACGCTTACTTGGTATATGCAATCACGTCACTTAATTCATTGTGATTAGTGACTCACAAATTACCTTGACTCTTTTAACATTCAAAACACTGCACATAAATAAAAAACTTCACGTGACACAAGAACGATTTGTAATAAGTGGTCCTCGTCTGTTTGAAAATACGATATAATGGTTGCTTGAAATGTGTAGAATAAGCATGATATTTGTTGAATATATTTAGTTAAACATATTTCTTATGATGAATGTCGTTATACATTTTTTGAAACCATGAATCGATCAGTGTTAGACCACCATTAGAAACCTGGAAGCACTAGACGGCCGTTTCGTCCAGGTATGGGACTCATCAGCAGTGCGCATACACGAATCCTGCGCCCCGCAGTATTGTGCGCGAGCGCCTAACCATCGGATCACTGAGCCGGTATATAACGGTGTTAATGTCTAACTTGATAAATTCATGTCGTTATATTTATGCTGAAAGAACTATTCGTATGTAACCGAAGCATAACACTGCAAGCCCGGATAAAGGAGGAGGGTTGGACATGGAGTTGGCGACCCCATTCCGTCGAAATCCCACTTGCCAAAAAACGCTAACCAGAAAAAGTAATTTAAAACCATTTTAACTCTGCCCTGGGAGTTGGAAGAAGAATTATGACGTCACGTGAGGAAAGCCGAGTTCCCTTGGAAGTCACGGGGCCGATGCCTCTTCTGACAACCAGAGCAACCATTCTTTTAGGTACATGGAACGTCCGTACATTGTGGGAGACTGGAAGACTATTTCAAGTTGCGGCACAAATGAAAAGATACAACCTCGAGGTGCTCGGCATCAGTGAAACGCATTGGACACAGGTAGGACAACTGAGACTTGCTTCAGGGGAACTGCTGTTATACTTTGGTCATGAAGAGGAAAACGCTTCACATACACAAGGAGTTGCACTGATGATGTCCAAACATGCACAAAAGGCACTGATAGGATGGGAATCTCATGGACCCAAGATCATTAAAGCATCTTTCAAAACAAAGAAACAGGACATTACAATGAATGTCATCCAATGTTATGCACCTACCAATGACTACAATGACGACGTTAAAGATCAATTCTACGAAAGGCTGCAGTCAATCGTCGAGAAATGTTCACCAAAGGATTTGACGATTCTTATGGGAGACCTGAATGCCAAGGTTGGAATGGACAACACTGGATATGAAGACATCATGGGACGACATGGACTGGGAGAAAGGAACGAAAATGGTGAGAGATTTGCAAACCTATGTGCCTTCAACAAACTGGTCATCGGTGGCACAATATTCCCGCACAAACGCATACACAAAGCCACATGGATTTCACCGGACCACACTACTCAAAACCAGATTGACCATATCTGTATCAACAAAACGTTCAGAAAGACTATGGAGGATGTGAGAACCAGGAGAGGAGCTGATATAGCTTCAGATCACCATTTGCTGGTGGCCAAAACGAAACTGAAACTAAAGAAGCACTGGACAACGGGGCAGACATCATCGCACAAGTTTAAAACGGCCTTTCTTCGGGATACCGTAAAACTCAACGAATTCAAGATAGCCCTCAACAATAGGTTCCAGGCCTTTCAGGATCTACACAATGGAGAGGAAGCAACATTGGAGTACAATTGAAAAGGGATTAAGGAGGCAATCACTTCAACATGTCAGGAGGTCCTTGGTCACAAGAAGCACCATCACAAGGAATGGATCTCTGTTGGTACCCTTGAAAAAGTTGAAGAAAGGAGGAACAAGAAGGCAGCAGTGAATGCCAGCCGAACAAGAGCAGAGAAAGTTACCGCACAAGCTGAATACACAGAAGCAAACAGGGAAGTGAAGAAGAGCATCAGAGCTGACAAACGAAAATATGTGGAAGATCTAGCAATCACGGCGGAAAAGGCTGCAAGAGAAGGAAACATGAGACAATTGTACGAAACAACAAAGAAGCTCGCCGGGAACTATCGTAAACCAGAACGACCAGTGAAAAGTAAAGAAGGCAAAGTAATCAGCAACACTGAACAACAGCGAAATAGGTGGGTAGAGCACTTTAAGGAACTATTGAATCGACCAGTTCCACTGAACCCACCCAACATCGAAGCAGCATCCAAGGACCTCCCAATTAATATTGGTGCACCTACGATTGAGGAGATCAGTATGGCAATCAGACAAATCAAGAGCGGCAAAGCAGCAGGAACAGACAACATTCCAGCAGAGGCAATGAAAGCAGATGTAGAAGCAACTGCGAAAATATTTCACATTCTCTTCAAGAAGATTTGGGATGAGGAACAAGTACCATCAGATTGGAAAGAAGGATACCTGATCAAAATACCAAAGAAAGGCGATCTCAGCAAGTGTGAGAACTACACAGGCATCACTCTTCTTTCAATACCAGGCAAAGTCTTCAACAGAGTATTGTTAAACAGAATGAAGGACTTCGTAGACGCCCAACTTCGAGATCAACAGTCTGGATTTCGTAAGGATCGATCGTGTACTGACCAAATTGCTACATTACGGATCATTGTGGAACAATCAATTGAATGGAACTCACCACTCTACATCAACTTCATCGACTACGAGAAAGCATTCGATAGCGTGGATAGGAAAACACTGTGGAGGCTTCTTCGACACTACGGTGTGCCTGAGAAAATAGTCAACATCATACGGAATTCTTATGATGGATTCAACTGCAAAATCGTACACGGAGGTCAGCTGACAGACTCTTTTGAGGTGAAGACCGGTGTGAGGCAAGGTTGCTTACTCTCACTCTTTCTCTTTCTCCTGGTCATCGACTGGATTATGAAGACGTCAACATCTGGAGCGAAGCACGGTATCAACTGGACAGTTAGGACGCAGCTGGACGATCTGTACTTCGCAGATGACCTGCCTCTTCTATCTCACACTCAGCAACAAATGCAAGAGAAGACGACCAGTGTAGCAGCAGCCTCTGCAACAGTGGGTCTCAACATACATAAAGGAAAAAGCAAAATTATCCGATGCAACACAACATGCACAAACCAATTCACTCTTGATGGAGATGCCTTGGAGGATGTTAACACCTTCACATATCTTGGCAGCATTATCGACGCGAAAGTTGGATCCGATGCAGATGTGAGGGCCCGGATTGGCAAAGCAAGGGCTGCATTTCTACAGTTGAAAAATATCTGGAACTCCAAACAACTTTCAAACAAAACCAAAATCAGGATTTTCAATACAAATGTCAAGACGGTTCTACTGTATGGAGCGGAAACATGGAGAACTACGAAAGCCATCATCCACAAGATACAAGTGTTCATTAACAGCTGTCTACGCAAAATACTTCGTATTCGTTAGCCAGACACCATCAGCAACAACGAACTGTGGGAGAAAACAAACCGGATTCCAATGGAGGAGGAAATGAGGAAGAAGCGGTGGAAGTGGATAGGACATACACTACGAAAAGCACCCAACTGCGTCACTAGAAAAGCCCTCACATGGAACCCTCAAGGCAAAAGGAAAAGAGGAAGGCCAAGGAACACACTACGCCGACAAACAGAGAAAGATATGAGAGGAATGAACAAACACTGGACAGAACTGGAGAGGGAAGCCCAGGACAGAGTTGGTTGGAGAAAACTGGTGGGCGGCCTATGCTCCATTGAGGGTAACAGGCGTAAGTAAGTAAGTAAGTAATATGACTTCAGGTTCTTTCGTCACTTTTAGTAAGAAGTTAGCCGACTAAAAATACCTTTTGTCTTCTGTGATCAATCATAGCTTAGAACAATAACACTCATTTGATACACTGAAATCATTAAACCGTGAGAATTTTCTCTAAGTTTTCCGTAAAGTAATCACAAGCTAGCTAGCTAGCTAGCCAATAAAAGAAATTTCATCACTAATACTTGACTGGTTTGTCAGCTAGCCATCTTATGACAGCTTTGAAAAACAAAATAATTCCTCAGTGACCCTTTATTTTTATCTACTGAAAGACCATACTCAGCCTTCTAATAATAACTATATAATAATCAAACAAATCTGTGATTTTATTATATTCCCACCGATACAATTCATAAATTTAAAGTTTTCTAAAATTCCGTTTGTTTATAATTAATTTGTTTTCTATTGTCAAATTTTTACAGCTTGCCATTTCGCATGACTTTTTTTTTCAGTCAATTTCTTTCAACTTCCAACTTGTGGTTATTGGAATTTCTTTCTTCATCTATTTCTTTTTTCTCATCTCCTTCATTAATCATGATTACATGTTCGTTTGATCATAAAAAATCTAACCATTCACTGTGACATTTGATTTTTTTTTTTATCAGTAGTATGATCAAAATTTTTATATTATTCTACTTGCACCCGATCATTAATTTATACAGTCAGAGAAAAATATGTCAGAAATTTATTTCTACTTTTTTTTTTTTTATTAAATAAACAAAATTATGATTTATTATCAACCATTCCATTTTATTGTTAGAATTTTTATTTTAAAAAAAAAAATAACACTGTAAAGAATAATTATTCTTTCTCATCACTTGAATTGTTCATTTGTTTTTGATAAGAAAATAAACATGAAATAAAACAAACTTTGAAGATAATGATACGTTATTATTGTTTTAGAATCTACTTTCTTGTCGAATTTTCTGTGATTTTAGTCGTTTAATATTAATTAGTTAAGGTTTATACAAAACTGTTCACGAAAGAATTTCAAACGAGTTTGTTTGTTAATATATACAAACATTATTGTTTTCAATTAGATCATCTTTAAAATCATGAATCGATCAATGTTAGATCACCACTAGAAACTTGGAAGCAGTAGATGGGTGTTTCATCCTGTTGTGGAACTCTTCAGTGGTGCGAATCTACTACTCCCGCTACTCGTTGGAAACGATCTGAGAACTTTCGGTCTTGCGCGCGAACGCTTAACCTTAGGACCCCCGAGCCGGATGCATACAACAATGTTACTGTCTGACTTTGATCAATCCACGATCTTGTGCAACATCATTCACTGTCTTCGATGAGCACTGCTTGACAGTGGAACAGGGTTGGACACCAATCGTCAAAACTTCTGGCTAGAACTCAAAGAAGCCTTTTCACGCAGCTAGTCACAAGTGAGCACATGATATTTTGTATTATAGGGTTGTGGAGATTGCTGACATACTTTGAGATCACAAGTCCCTCCCCAACTCTATAACGCAATTTAGATCGTCATTAGAATTTATTTTATTATACATGAATAAATGAATGTTAATATAATTGTAAATTTGGACAATGGTAGGTGTACATTAGTTTTCAGGACAACCAGACACTGTTCAAGTGTTAACATTACAACTTGAACAGTACAACTCAATCCTGTGGCGCCAACAAACAACTAATTGGTCGTTTATGTGTTACATTTTTGTTATTATCAAATAAAACAAACTAATAACATATTGAATCCATATAATTCAAAAAACAATTAAATATACACGATTATTGTTGATCACTACAATGACACAGACAAATATTGAATATTTGATATAAAATGTATTTGTTTCACCTAATTATTAGTTGATCATTGCCATGGTATCCCTAACTCAACTCACATTCATCGATTCAGATTGATTGATTTTGACTATATTTATGGGTTTCCTTTAGTTAGACTTTCTTTGAAAGACTAAATATTAATAGGAGTATTTAACTGAAAAGAATAAACTATATTAAATTGATATTTTATAATCGGAGCAGTGATAAATTGATTCATACATAAAATAGTCACATAAAAAATGGAATGTCAAGTTTACGGATCAAATCTGGATTTTTAAAAGACTTCATTTCATTCATTGTGGAATTTACAGTTAGTTATCAGTTAACTTCAATCTGTGATACTATGACTATTTTACTGCGTGTACTTTCATGTCGAGTATACAGGGCTTGTCCAGAGCTTCGCACAAACTAACTAATCTATTCTTCTTGAATTATCATTTATACGTTTTTCGACCTTGTCTATTAACCGCTTATATTTTGGTTGCTTTTATTGGAGTACGTGTACCGCATCCTTCACTTATAACATGTTTAGCTGATTTTCTTTGTCTTCAAATACTCAATCATGCTTTATCGTTGGCTTGCCTGCTTTCACTTCTCTTCAGTTTGCTTTAACGCTGTGTATTCGCATGTCTGCATGCATGAACGACTGCTTGAACTAAACTGTTTTAACCGAATCTGTATTTGGCTTCTTATTACGTCCGGCGTACTAAACGGAGTTCGCCTAAGTATGATATACGAAAACTGATGTGGATATTTATTTTATAGCATACTCGAATTTGTGTAAATATCATAGTCATCACAGGACACTAAACTATCAAAGTGCATTCAAAAAAAACTCACAATACATTATTCTAAGTAAATGAAATTTTTAAAAAAAAATCAAATGATTTCTTACATTCACATTCAAAACCATTGGTTCACTTGTAAATTCAATTCGTGTATTATTCAACCATTGGAATAATTTCTCTTCATGTTTATTTAAATGAATTAAATTAATCCATTGCATAAATATTTTCTCTGTAGATGAATGTTTATATTTGGACATTGGTAACAATGATGCTGATGTTGATGATGAAGATGTAAAGCCTAATTGTAAACTAACTGAACTTAAACCAGCTTTATTCAATGCAAACATTCTTATTTGATAAATCTGTTGTTCATGAATTAATGATTCGATATGCAGACGATGAGTGCTTTCATTTAAACTATAATAACCAGCATAGTTTCGATTGTCATTATTCATTGGAGTTGGCATAGAATTGTAATTAGAATCTGTTGTAGATGATGGCAGATGATTGATTGGATGAAAGCGAAAAATTGATTGTTTCTCTCGGTAGTAAATATCATGATCATAGTTAGTGCTACGGTTGAGCCATCCTTGATTCATATCGATCATTGGTGTGTGATAGGCATTTTCTTTATTACGATACAGACGATAACTATCCGCTGATAAATCAATAGGTTTTATCTGAATTGAAAGTGAAACATTTAACGGAGAGAAAAGAAAAAGGAATAAAAAGTTGCGCGCATGAATCTATAAAATAGTTTCAATAGAGAATTAAATTTTTTTTCAAAGAAGTTTATGATATTTCAATGTTTCATTTTGTCTTTCTTATCTTTAAACCAAAAAAAAATTACACATAAAAGTTTTGTGTCTCATTGAAAATTGTAAATAATCCCGTAGGACAAAGATGCTGGATAAAAGCGATTATCATGATGAATTGATAACAATTATGAAATAAATGGAAAATTGTATTAGGAAAGTGTTTTTGTTTTGATTTTATGTGTCGCCTCACCGGTGATATCAACAGCAATCAAATCGAATACTTTATGATGCCGAAAATTACTCATTGGCCTTTGATCATCAACTTAAAGGTGAATAGCCCATTTTTTCAAACTTAATCTTTTCACCAGGCATAAAATGTCAATGTTAGATAACTACTCTACTTTCTTTGAAAACTCGTTTGTAAAACTTCAGAAATTCATCTTGGAATCATTCATTAGCGAGGATATAGTTGTTCTCCCTTCACTTTCTTAATTACACTTGTTACCCACGTCTGTCTCTGATTCTCAGAGTAGTGCGGTCCTTGGTCTGCTTCTTTTGGCCTTGATGATTCTAAATGAGGTCTTGCCTCGTTATGCAGCTAGGTGATTTCTGCAGTGTGCCTCCTAATCACCTCCGACACTTTTCCGAATTTCTTAGTCAGATTCAATCTGGTTTGTTCTCTTCCATAGTAGGTTTATCATAATGGTTTCTGGTCAATGACTCCTCAGTATCATGAGTAGAAAACTATTAATAATCACCTGTATCTCGTAGATGATGGCTTTTGTAGTTATCCACGTTTCCTCTCCATGCTATAAAACTGTTCTGACGTTTGTAATGGTGTTGGTTGCCAGGTGTTTTGAGTTCTAGCCGTACATCAATTGTTGAAATGCTGTCCTTTCTTTACTTATCTATATCTTCACATCTACACAAGATCTCTACATCCTGCAAAGCTTCTCCATCATGAGTGATTTATCGATCAAAATCAACAAATATTAGTAATTTCTTTCACATCTGTTTTTTTCGAGTTAACTTAATATTGTTATTAACCTAAAACATTTTTCTATCAGTCAGGTAAAAGACATTGACCAAATGGTTTAGGTTAAACCAAATTCTAGCCCATTTAAAATGTATGACATTTTGTTAATTTTAGACTGATACTGGAGTGATTTATACGTTCGTTTAATGTGAATATAAATCTATTAATTTTGTGTTTCGTTTTTTTATTGCTCGTAAGTTTTATTTGTAAATTGATTTATAGTTCATTTCTTTTTTTTAATGCAAAATTGGTACAAAATTTAAAACACAAGAAAAGGTGGAAGTTATAAACAAATTGCTCTAGTGTTTGGTAAAGTCGTTGTGTTTTGTGTTTTGTTTTTTTTTACTATAGTTTTTATTTGTCTGACGGTAACTAACTATCTTAGACAATTATTATTTATTCAATGTTATTTTTTCTCATTCTTAGGATATGCATTTTATATATTTAATCGTAAAATCTATTTAATTGTTCCATATTTATATAGTTCATATAATTTTCTTTGAATTAAGCATGTAAATTAGTTTACTTCACTGAACATTAATAAAAATAATAATTTATTTAACTAGTCTACTATAGTCACAACATAAACAACAACTATATCATTCAATTTATAAATGTATGTACAAATTTGTTCGTTTCAGTAGTTTCATCTGCAATGTGTGATTAATTAGTTAAATGTTTCAAATTAAGAAAATTACTCGGGGTCAATCAATTATTATTAGATTAGATTGAATGATATTACACATTGAAGTAAGTTCATTAATTAGACTAATAGAATCTATTAAGGTTGAGTAGTGGTTGAATAGAACAATTGGAAATGCATGTTTTGCCGTATTTCGGGCTAGTTATTTAGATATATCTAAACTTGAATTAGTATTCACACTGAAACTTGAAATCAGAACTTTTCGCCTTAAAAACAACAATTGACTTCATAATCTAGCTACTGTTTAAGCACAAAAATTCTGTAAATGACGCGTTTACTGTATGAAACAAACGGTATCGGATTTGAGATCAGATGTGCACTTTAACGTCAGTGCAAGCACATTTCACTGACAAAATTCAAACATGACAAAATAAGTGCAATGCTATTCACTATTCAATCTTAGTTTAAATTTTCTTTATCTTTCAGTTTATGTTGACAATAATCCTAGATCTATCGTACTAGTATTGTACTAAATACAAATTACGATAACCTCATAATACCTACAATATTTCCTTGATAAACTATAAAGTTCACTCTTAATGTTGAAGCATAATACCACTTAGATTTATAGTAGAACACAACTAAAAGCCATGTTGAAATAATTCAACAGAATCTGATAAGCTAGCATGATATGATCATTCGTGAAACCGTTACTTTTATTGAACATTATTTATACGCGATGAAATGAGTTGTTTCATATTTTCATTTGTTTAACTGCTAATGAAATCAGATGATCATTGTGATATAAAACAAACTAATCTAATTTCACAATAAAAATTATCGGGTCTCAGGTATATGGTTTAAATTTGTCATGAAGACTTTAAGATTCTAAGTTCAATAGTTAGAGTGGGATCACAGCCTAGTCATTTTTGAATAACAAAACTGTTACGGCCTATCTGTTAATAGTTGTTTAGTTGATGTATATTTCCACCTTGTTTCAAATCGTATTCACGAATTATTTAACCGAAGAAATGGAATTTCGAAGCGTTGAAGATTTATTTACACGACAACATATACTCTTGGTGATATTTGATAAGTAGTTTCATGAAACCATCAACAAACTTTGAAAAGATGATGAAGCTAACAAAGAACTAATCATTTATTTTGAAACCAAATGTTTCACTTATTACGTTTTATACAGAGCGGATTTCGTAGCTTGAATAAAATGTAATATGCAGTTCATTTTCCCTATTTTTCATGGTTACGTTTCCCATTTTAGTTGATTGTACTCTCTTTCAAATGCTTCCGAGCTCATTAATTTCCTTTCGCTTAATAATGGTGAGAGGCCCTAAAATATGAATTCATAAACATTCTTGTTACGGACTAATCTGACTATGAAAACAGGATGGAATGATATCAAAAAGGCTGTGGAAACAGCAGTGATATCTGCTAGTAAGGTTGACCATAAGGCTGGAATGAAACCGTGGATCTCAGTAGCATCCACCGATCAGATGGATGCCCGAAAACTCATCCCACCTGACTCTGAACATGATGAAGAACGAAGTCAGCTTAGGCGCAGACTTATGAAAAGCCTACGTAACGATCGCGAACAGTGGTGGGTAGCGAGGGCAAAAGCGATGGAAAAGGCAGCGGCGATAGGCAACAGTAGACAACTTTTCCGACTTATCAAGGAAACTGGTATTAGGAATCCTAGTGTAAGTGAGACTATCTCAGAAAATGACGGAACTATTATTTATTCTCAATCCAGGAGACTTGATCGATGGGCAGAACACTCTAGGGATCAGTTCAACTGGCCTCAAGCCACTATTCGGTTATCCATGATCTCCAGTGATCCTGAATGGCAAGTCGACGTAAGTCCGCCTAGTCCTAATGAAATTGAAAATGCGTTAGGAAATCTGAAGCGAGGGCGAGCTGCAGGTCCTGATAGACTGACCCCTGAGATATTTAAGGATGGTGGTCCAGTTTTAGTAGCTAGATTGACTGAGATCTTAGGTAGAATCTGGGAACTGGACGTAATCCCATCCGACTGGTCTCAATCACTGATTGTCCCAATCTATAAGAAAGGACACAAGTCTTCTTTTGACAATCACAGGGGAATAAGTCTAACTAATATAGTTTCTAAAATATTGGCCTCATTATTACTTCGACGCTTAACGAAAGCTCGTGCAGAGCAGACTCGAGAAAACCAGGCTGGATTCAGACCTGGACGTGGTTGTATAGACCACATCTTCACACTACGACAGGTCCTGGAACACAGACACCCATTTAGGCGTCCTACAATAGTTGTTTTCCTGGACCTTAAGGCGGCATTTGACTCTGTGGATCGTGAGGTTCTGTGGCAGTGTCTGTCATTGAAAGGTGTACCGAAGAAGTACATTAACCTTTCATCGGCACCTGAACTAGTGATAAGGAGTGAAGTAGTCGAACGTGTAGACCGCTTCACTTATCTTGGGAGTCTCATCAATGCCGATGGCCTGGTGACTGACGAAATCTCAGCACGGATACAGAAGGCTCGATTGGCTTTTGCCAACCTGCGTCACTTATGGCGTAGGCGAGATATCCGTTTGATGACTAAAGGACAAGTGTACTGTGCAGTAGTTCGCTCCGCCTTACTTTATGGCTGTGAAACATGGCCAGTGAGAGTAGAAGATATTCGTAGGTTACTGCTTTTCGATCATAGGTGTCTTCGAAGCATTGCTCGTATATCGTGGGACAACCGAGTTAGCAACGCTGTTATTAGTAAACGGGTACTAGGTAAGAATGGCAGATCAATCGATGAAGTGGTGAAACTTCATCAGTTGAGGTGGTTGGGACACGTGTTGCCTATGCCCAACCACCAACTGCCTCGTCGAGCCTTGTTTTTCGTGTAGGAATAGGTTGGAAGAAATCTAGGGGCGGCCAAACCAAAACATGGCAGAAATCCATGAAGTCATTGACGAGTGAACTTAGCCATGTCAGTAATTGTCGACTACCTGGTTGGGGTCCGCGAGATGATAATAATCTATGGTTAGAGACCCTAAATGACATGTCTCAAAATCGTTTGCAATGGCGGCGGTGCATTTATTCTTTGTGTTCTCTCAAATCCTAATCTTCTGGATTCTTCAACACCTCTAGTTTTGTCTTTCCAACTTTTTCTCATTTAATCACACTTCTTGAATAATATCTTCTCATCCTAACCTCTTCGATTACTTCTAATACCCTTATTAACTCTTCTACTATTGGATTTGAATTGACAATTACATCTCTGTGCTGATGTCGTATGGCAGCATGAACTGATGTACTTACGTTCTACGTTGCCACTGACTGACTCAATAGAAAACCTTCTGCACCCTAGAGTTTCAAACGTTCCCCAACAACCTTCACAGTCTGAGACGTTCACACTAAAATATTTAGAACATCTGTTCAAAGAGTAGAGATAATGCCACATTGTGTAGAGAGGCACTTTCCTGTGTAACCAATATATTATGCTGTGCGTAAGTAATGAAATACATATCATCAAGGTAAATCATGAAAAGGAATAAATGATTCCTAACCAAATTTTTTGAAATAAATTTAGATCTGACTTTCATCTTCTCATACATTCAGTTCGCTTAATTTTTTAAGAGGGCGAGAACAAAAAATTGAGCAGAATAGTATGAGTTAATTTTATTTTGTAGGTTTCTCATCAGCTGATTACAACCTATGATATTGTATAAACCAGAATTATTGTAAAGTGTGTGTGTGTAGACCAATGAGGCCCTTCTTTCTATTCAGCCGATGTAACCGCTTTGGCGGGTTCAAGTAAATCTGCATACGCAGTTGGCGGTAACATAAAAGGGGTACTTACCGATATCTGATTGGATTAAACAACAAATGCATTATACAGGATAATGAGCTTCGTTGCAGAATGGGTTCTAGTTAGTGTAGTTTTTTGTCTACTGTTTATTGTCGATGAGACATCATTGCGTTTGAATGCAAAAGAAATGAAAATAGGCTATTAGTCTGTTATATTCTCTTGGGATGTTTCACCTTACTTTTCGCATAATTATCAATAAATTTCTTTTGATACCCATTTTTCTTTTGTCTTTTTCTTTAACGTCTATTAATTCTGCCTCTAATCTATCGGTATTGCATATCCTTTCTGTTCTGTGAAATAATGTTTTGATAAGTGCGTTTTTGTAACTAATCGGACAAAAGCTGTTAAAATTCAGAAAAACACTACTTGTATCTTTTCTGCAAACTGAACATTGGATTTTATTGTCCTCTCTCTGTTGTTTAGCAATACCAAGGAAGTGTAACTTATTATCCTTTCCCTGTTCCATAGTAAAATGAATATTTTATAAGCATTGCAGAAAACGCTTAGCAGATATTTCGCTTGTCGTCAATTGAAGTATCATCGATATATTACGCATAGTAAGTCATTTTATCAATCGCTCGTTTGTGCTTGGTCTTCTCAAGGTTACCGATAAATATATCTACTAGATATATGTTATTTCCGCACTTTGTTCTTTTAATCTTTATTCAAATGAATTATAACATAGAAGTCTAACAGGATAATACTTTTTTAGCTCACCTCAGTATAATGTAGTATGTACTGTAATATTTTTCCGTTTGGATTTTCTGGTGCATCCCATTCAACAATAAGACCATCACTTCCGTCAGTATTAACCACTAAATTTGTAATCCGAGAAGGAACTGTAATTTGGACATTTTAAAAGAAGATCCAATTAATTTGTCAAACTCCTGAACTTTAATCAATTTGGAAGTAAAAGTATGTTTAGCAGGCTAATTTTAACAAAGTGCACACGAAATGAGCATGCTGAGATTAAAAATATCATGGTACATAACGACTCCGTCTTGTGGTTAAACCTACTGAAACTGCAGTTTGACATCAATTTTAAAATATAAATTTCAGCATTTTTACATTTTTACGTTGATCAGTTATCATTTCGTTGTTTAAGTCGGAACAAAAAATGTTAACAATTGGACTCATCAGGAACTACTGTGCTCATCTTTTTTGTACATACAGAGTTATTCATAATACTGACTATTCAAATGGAAATGACCATTACAATATTTCTTTAAAATCGTCCGGTTACAGGTCTATCGATTTTTAATAAGTACGATACCATATAGAAGTAACTTCTTCAATTTCGACTCTAAATTGCGATGACCTGTTAATTGTTTATTTCGTAGAAAACTAATTACCTTTAAATGCATTTCAATTTCCTTGAGAATATTTAAAACCCAGATTACCATTTGTGATGAGGAAACGTATTCTGAATTAAATTCACAAGCACTCAGTGAGAAAACAAACATGAAATCGAATAAGTAAAATGAAGGAATGTGTTCATATTTTGTGAGTGTTAATCAATACGTGAGTAAATTTATTGACTCTCCGCTTTTACAAGCAATGGAGAATAGATAAAGATTTGAATGCAGAATTGCGTTCAACCTAATTGACACATTTGCAAGTTTAGTGAATCAAAGAAGTAAATTTCAGTGAACAGATAGCGATAATATACCACGTTTTTCTTGACTTGATGTAACCTGAAAGAACTAATCATAAAAAATATAATGATAAAGGCTTATCGAAATCTGAACAGGGGAAATACCACTGACTGTCTTTACTTTACTTTAACTTGTTTGAGACAAAGGGACGAAATTCTGTAAAGGTTAGAGTGGGGAAACAGAAACTACTTGGAACAAACTGAAGTGCTTTTATGAAGATTTAAAAATTTAATTTATTCTTAACAAAAGAGGTTTCTAGTACACTTGATATTCTTTATTCGTGAGCAAGATTGACTGATAAACAAATATTAATTATTCAATTAATGAATGATAAAATGAAAAATAATGTCAATGATCATGTATAACATATCAATTAAATAAGTTTATTCCATTAATTATAAAAATCTAACTGCTTCACTAAAAAAACCTCCTAAACTACTCGTTATTGATTGATGCCGTTTACTGAGCTACAGTTAACTGTAGCACAGTACAAAACTCCACGTTTGTATTCGAGTAAGACAGAGATTGAATTGAATAATGGCCATTGTTCTATTTTATTACAAATATGATTGTCGTTAGTTAACCACTTTTATTGCATACTACTTACAGGTTTATAGATGCTTCCTATAAAAAATCATTTTCTCATTTAACTTAACTTAAATCTAACAAGAAGAAAAATAAAATTCCTCAACAGAAAAGTAATTGCCAACTCTTTGAAAACTTACCATCTTCATTAGTACGAAATACTTCGGCTGGTTTACTGAACGGACCAATTCGATGTGGATATACATAAGCAACAAACAATTCGTATAAAGTATATGGACTAAGGGAATTTAAGACAAGTGATATTCGACGGTTGCTTCTATTCATATTTACACTGTGCAAGAAAGTAGAATTTTCAGACTGATTTAATTCATTACAAGGATGGTTATCATTTTCGTTATCTTGGTTAACACTAAAATGGTTGTCGGAAAAATTGTCCCTGTCCGTGACACATTCTATAGGCAAATATATCTGTACATCGAAACAACCAGGTGGATCAATGCAAGATAATTTAATCTACAAATACAAAGTGAAAATTGAAATTAAGTTAAGAAAAATGGAATCATATAACGAAAAAAATTAATCGACAAAAAATGTATTATAATGATATTGTATTTTCATAGCTGACTTGTTTATTTCAGAAGCCTTCCACGTCATTATTAACAATATTATCAAAACTTACTTCAAGTTAAAATAATATAGCCTACATAATAAGGAAATTAGTTGAAATACATAACCTGAGTTCTGAATTTTCTCTACCATTTATTGATCAGTATTATGTATCGGAAAATGCAGAATAACACCTACCTAAAATATTCAAAGTCGCTATAGAATGCGTTAGTATGTTTCAGCTGGTTAGGAATTTAGAATGAGTGCTTCCACGGGCAAAAACAGTGTAGGAACTTATGGAGATTCAAACTTTTGTGGTTTACTGCACGAACTCATCCAGAGGAAAGGACTAGATCGCTCATTTGGTTACGACTGAAACTACCCAGCAGACGATTTTCAAGACTTCAATACAGATCAAACTAATAGCATGTATTGAAAAGTAATAAAATTTTGGAGGAAATTCTCGACGATTTATGAACTGTAACCAGTGAAGCTCAGACCTTGTCCGATTTTGAACAGCTTTACTTACGAAGGAACTTATTCATTACAATATAAATAAAGGTAGTCACCCGAAAAAGTCTTTATTTTAGTCCATAACAACATTTTTGGGATTCGTACTGCATATTTTTGTCGATATTTAAGAATCTGTTATTGTCTATCTTCCAAATTTAGTTGTGAAGCAAGATAACTGGAGTACAGGCAATGATATATATATACAGGTATAGATAATCATAAAAATGTGTCACAATGAGTCTAGTCCTTGACAAATGAGGCTTTAAAAAATACAAATGCACACATATATTGCACAAATAGAAAAGATTTATGAAATCGGTATCTTTAATAATAAAACGGACAAAATGAAAATTTCAAATAAGGAGTACATATAGTTCAAAATGAACTTACTAGATAACCTTTCATTTGTTCAATGTAATAATCACTTCTCTCTATGTAATCACTGACAAATGATATTTCCACTTGTTTGTTTTCATGTACAATAACAGATATAATTGACGGTGTTTTAAGTGATTCATGTGGAAGAGTTTGAATTTGAAGAACTTCAGAGAACGGTCCACATTCATAATTATTACATGCTGCAATCTTTTTTTTTAGTAAATCAAAGAATCATTTAATAAACAATAAAGTGTATTCAAAAATGTCTAAAGCATAAAATTAATAATATAACTGATAACTAATTTTTGAAATATTAATTCTTTCAAAATAACCGGTCAATATCAATATTTATAGCGAAAAAGATTTATGCACTGTCATCGATTTGATATTCAAAACACTATTTCACGACTATTGTTGAAGAATTTAAATTATATGAAAATTTTTCCAAAGGCCACAGAGTCAATAAGTCGTCCACACAAAGTGATACACTTGCCTTAAGTCATGGTAACATCATAAAATCTAAATATGGTTTCCCTTAAAATATGATTGATTTCTTTGGGAAGTAATCATTTTTATCTGAATGTTCCACATAACCAAGAACTGACAGATTCATTGATAAAATTTCTTTGAGTATTTCTATTAATTTTAGTATGGCTACAGTAAACTATATTCTCGAAATCTTAGCAAAAATACAATTTGTTTCCCTTAGACAGAGGTTTTTTTACATGTGGAATCAATAATCAATCATTGTTAGACCACCATCGGAAACCTGGAAGCACTGGACGGCCGTTTCGTTCTGGTATATAACTTATCAGCAGTGCGCATCCACAACACCTGCACCTCGCAGGATTCGAACCCAGGACCCTCGTTATTGTGCGCGAACGCCTAACCATCGGACCACTTGGCCGGCATCCAACGGTGTTAATGTTTCCTTTGACAAATTCAAATTCATCAAGATCAATAGTGTTTGAAGAATAAACTGGCTAACTGTAGTTTGTCGCTTTCTTTTCAACTGAAAACATGCTAATATGTTTGTTTATTTCCAGTTATTAACACAATCTCCAATTGTTGCATGAATTATCAGCAGTGAATATCAGACTCAAAGTTTACTTTTTATCGAAACATAAAATTGCTCATAACTGATGATTTATCAAATTTTTTATACAGATTTATCATTAAAAAAAGACGGTACACAGTTTCGATGTTTTTCCACGGATATTCTTTTTAATGTCTTTTTAACGTCTTATGAATGAATTTGAATGAAATGTTTAAGAAATTATAGTTTAGTTGTTTAATTTTTCAGACGAGTTCTATTTGGTAGCTGGAAATGATCTGAAGGAAATCTTGACTGACTTAAATTGTCATGCCATTTCAGGCTCGCTAGAAAGATTTTATGTCCATCAAGAAGGTATTGATGATTTTCAAGTGATTCAAACCCTGGTTGCCGAGTTTCATAGCTTGGAACGCTACACCTAATGTGTTTTGATCTACAAGTAACTTGTTGTCAATTGGTTGATCATTGACAGATGTGAATCAATGACCGACAACAAGTATAAAGCATATAATCAAAATTCAAAGAATACAAAAAACTTACTTTCAAATGATATCTCTTTGATGATTTTAAATATGTCAACTCCGTATGTTGTAAAAAATTGTTTAAATTGGAACATTTTTTCACTTCTACAAAATCACTATTCTCAATCCAATAGTATAACTATAAAATAAAAATTATGCAACTGAAATTTTTTTCATGAAAACTCTAGATAAAAATTTGTTTACGATTTCAATTACTCGTTCTTAGGTAACATATATTTTCAAAAAGATATGAAATATTATCCAGTCCCTCAAATGTTTATCATTTTTGGACAAAATTAAAAAATAGATCGTTTCATGTAAAATAAATTTTTGCAGTCAAACAACAATTAATTAGATTTTCAAAAGTTATAATAACACAAACTAACTTTAAGGTTAAAATATATAACTAAACGAATATTGATTAAAAAATAATACTAACTATTCATATGGGAAATAGATATAATTGAATAAAGAGAATTCAAATAAAAACGAATATTTAGATAATGGATACAAATAAAAGAGCATCACTGAACATAAACATATATATATATATATATATATATATATATATATGACGGAATAAATTTATGCAGGATTCGCCAATTAAGAAACGCGGGATGATTATACTAGGCTGTTGCTTTTTTTTAATGAAAATCGTTGGTGATTCTAATTTATGTATTTATGTAAATATAGACTCCACCAGTAGCCCTCCTGGAGTTACTGCCTGTCCCAAGCCGGGTAACAAAAGAGGATTGGGTATGGAGTTGGTGACCCCATGTCGCAGAAAACCAACTAGAAAAATAATTCATACCATTTAAACTCTGCTCTGTGAACTGTACTTTCCTAATTTAGAACAGTTATGGCGTCTCCTAATAAAAGCCGAGTTTCTTCGGAAGTCGCGAGGTGGAAACCCCTCCTAACATCCACAGCAATCATTTATTTGAGTAGATGGAATGCTTGTACATTGTGGGAGACTGAAAGAACTATTTAATTGGCTCCGGAAACGAAAAGATACAACTTTGTGGTACTTCGAATCCGCGAAGCACACTGGACGCAGGTTGGACAAAGAAGACTAAATAACTGATATGAACTCATTCCTAATTCATGAACACTGATTGGCCCATTAACTATATTTAAACTCTCTGGGAATGAATACACTTCTGGTTTATCAGAACATGATTTACTTTCCTTAATGTTTGATATTAAAACCAAAACAAAGCTACTTGCTTTCCTAAATTAAATCAATAAACTATTTAACTCTAACTGAACTAAAGAAAACCTTCAGTTTTTAAAATCAAGCCTATATTGTCCCACCAGGCTAATCATTATCGGAGTATGCAGATTACGCAATGTGAGGAATTTTAAATGTCATCTTAGTTAATAGTTTTCACCTGTTAAGTGGATTTTGTTAAAGATATCGTTGTATGACGTTTAAATGGAATGACAATAAAAGAAACCAACCCTTCATCATGTTACGTCATTGCTTATACACTAAATAATAAATACACATATTTTAACTAATTATTCGTCCAAGTGGATTTTCCATGTGAATTCCCTCGTTACCACTCATACATTCATTAATAACTGCTTAATTTACCATACAATTCAGGTTATTTTGGCACTCCTAATTGATTCTCTATCTAAGCATACTTTTTATTCTCTTTTGAAATAAACAGTAAATTATAAAGCTTACTTTATCTTCTACCCAGTTTGATATGAATTATTTTTCAATCTTGAATAACCTTTCATTTGTAGACAGAAAAAAAATACAGTCAAAGCAGAGTTTGTACTACTTAAACTGATTCGCAGTAACTCTTAATGAAAAAGATTTACTTAATAATGATTACAATGATTTCCATTTAAAATTAATAACAGTTTTAATATAGTTTATGTGAAAACAACGATATAAATGTTTGTTTAAATTTATGTCAAAATAACTTTCATCTGTCATAATAAAACAATTCAATGCTCAATTCAATCGGAGATAAGAAGGTAAGTCAAACACCACTCTTTAGGGTGTGTACAATATACGAGAGAAATTTTATTGCATAGTTTATGCATATATTCTGAGATGTAGAGTGAGCCTACCAGGTTATATGGTTTAACGTTTCATGTTAGCATTTTCAGTTTACGATATACATACACATTCTGTAGTATGGATTTGATGTTATTTATGTAATTGGATCGGTAGAAGAAGAAAAAAGGTGTGAATAAATCGAGATTCAATTTATCATGGAAACAATTGTGGTTGTTGAAGCTGGTCAGACAATTGTATTCAAGATTCATGTCTATCGTTTTAATACAAAAATATATTAAGGAAAATGAAGGATTGGTAACGCACTAAAGTTTGTCAAGTTTTGAGGCAATAACAGTTCTCTATTTCTTATTGCAAAAACAAATTACTCATTGTGTTTTTTTTCATCAAATAAATGAAATAATATCATTCATATCAATAGGAAGGAAAGAAAAGAAATCCAACTAACCTGATATTCTTTGATGAAAGATAATGGAAATTTATTAGTTTGCAATGTTGTCACCCAGATAACATGCATAGATGTACTTGTAACATTGATCAGATATAATTTTATGCTAATTTTATCGAATATTACTTGAAGATAAGAAAAAAAAGAAAAGAAAATATCAGTAAATTGAAATGAATCAATCAATGAGTGTAACAGCGAATGCACAAATATAATTATGTGAAAATAATTAAGAAGCCATTAAAGCTTAAAAAAAGAAAATGAAGATTTTTCTAACTATCCATATATTTTAAAAAACCAATAGTGTTCATGTTATTATCAGTTTAATGAAAAAGAAAGTATATTTCCTGTTGAAAAGGATGTGGAATGTTAATAACAATCAAAAAATCACCGACTAAGATTTTTCTTTTTGAATAATCCTATGTTTATTTATTTAGAAAACATGTTCAGTCAACCGACAGTTCGATAGGAAAGAGAATAAAGAAATAATGTCGGAAGGAATGGATGTTTATCGATCAAGTTACTGCTGATTAAAAAATGTACGAATGAATGCAAGTTGATCTACTTATTCACTGGACGATTTACTGATATAGCTTATCCTGGTAATGATTGAATCAATTTATAGAAATTTGAAAATAACAGATCTGATGTGATACATATAAAGTAGTCCTAGTAATGAATGTCGGGTTGAGTGAAACAAACCAAAGCAAGTACTAATTTTCCATCTACAACTGATATTGTGATTGAAAGTTTTATTTCGTTCTTTGAAAATCGTGTATTTCATTTTCACCCATGAAGGTACTTGTTTCATTTTTAAGTTCAAAAAATATATTGAGATTTGAAGAGCCTTTTGAATTCTTGTTTTTCTTGCATTAGTTAACAGATACTTTAGGTAAAGAGTGAAAGAATCTTGGAAATCATTTTAGCGATTGCAAAGTAACTAGATTTTTACAATATACAAAAATAGAGTGTAAATGACTATAAAAGATGAATGACATACTTATTGTAGCCACTTTTATTGATTTATGATTGTTGGGGACGTTAGATCCCCACATCTCACTTCAAAAAAGTCCTAATTTTGGATTTTTCTATGCTTTTGCGCATAAGTTACTAAGTTGACTTTCAGCTTACATTTCCCACTAGGAAAATACATGACTGTCACTGCTTGACGGATTGTTTTATTATGCTATTTTTGTGGCTCTCCCACGGACGTTTATAGTATGTATAAACAAGCTCGAATCACGTTCTTGTCAACGTCGTATTTTCTGGTTGCTTGTAGAATACACTTTCTACGCCTTATAAAGAAGACTTCTTGATATAGTTAGCCGGACCGGGGCACGAATTAGAACAGCCTATCGTGTCACCGGATCATTTGTCGTCGCTCTCGTTGACCGAGTAAGGCGTACTCATAATGGTTTCAAGCATATCGATTGACGAGCATATCAATTTGATGTCATTACTAAATAATATAATGAGTGTTACTTGATTGCGCTAGATGATTGATATTAGAATTACAGCCCAATGTGAATACTGACTATGGTTGTAATTGCATTCACTTAATATCTACATTGTACACTATACTGCTGTCCACCGGCGAAATAAAATTAAGCATTTTCCCAATAAACCTGTGTTGAAATGTGTTGAAGTTGCGTAACATCCTAGAATGATTGAGGTTTGACATGAACACCGTTGGGTGCCGCACATTGGTCTAGAAGTTAAGTGTTAGCACGCGAAACCGAGGGTCTCGGGTCCGACTTACACTTGCAGAGATCATGGATGTGAGCTACTGACGAATCCCATACTAGGATGGCACGACCGTCTAGTGATTCCAGGTTTCTAATTATGGTCTAACATTGATCGATTCATGACTTCACTGAAAATTAATTATCTTGAACTGAAACAATATTATGTAAACTGACCTAACGAAACATCGTTAATCGGAATAAAAAGCAAAAATAATGGTGAGTCAAATATATATACCACAGTATCTAACATTAGAGCTCTTGTTGTCATAAAGACGTCTGATAAGTGTTCTTTTTAATTATGATATTTCGATCGTTTTGTATTCGAAATCGACTTTTGTTGAGTAATCAGAAGTTAAAAAATATAGCCACACTCGAACGAATATCTCCGAAAATTAATTAAAAAGCAAATTCAATTTACAATTTGATAATAATTTACTTTTAGGTATACGTGACACTGAATACAAAACAGCATTGGATTTCGAACTCCAGCCTAGGAAATTTACTGAAGATACACTGATACAGTATGAACCAGCCTGAAACATCACTGAATCATTCATTGTATATACGTAATAATCAGTGCTTGTATTCTTTGTGGTTTCATTTAAATTTATCATACTGAATAGTTTCCATTCTTCATCCATTATTATTTCACAATCTGTAAATGAAAAAATGAATCATTGAATATAGATAAACGCTGTTGGTGAATAAAAAGGCTAATGTCTAGTGATATTGAAACTTACACAATACTTTCAAAATTTACAGGAAGTTGTACGGCAATTCGAATGATGGCTACGAAGGATTTATATATCTCCACCTCTCAGTGACTATCAATTTCAACATTCACTCATATAAATATCAGACTTCGTGCACTCGCATTGAAATTATGGACCGATCAAAATTAGATCACCATCGAAAACCTGGAAGTACGGGACGGCCATATGTCATAAAATGGAACTCATCAGAATTGCACATCCACAACCACGCAAACGAGGACCCAACACAGGGCCTTCGGTAACGTCAGTGAACGCATAACCTTTTGACGACGCCAACGGTGTCATTGTCTTACCTCAGTTAACTTACAATATTGCGGGACAATCGTCCGTTATCTTCGGTGGGTAACTGCATCAAGTCCAGCATGGTTGAACTCCTATGTTCATGAATTCTCACCGAAACTCTGTTGATTGTTGACTAAGTGGTCAGCATGCTCAGCGTTCGCATATGAGGGTCGTGCAGACAGACTGCTAATGAATCTCACACTTCAGCGAAACGGCCGTTCATTACTTCTAGGTTTCCATTGGTAATGATTTCAATGAAACTCAACAATCTCCACAACCTTCTACCATTTACTTGATTAACACCTTTTCATTGTAAAGAGAATACTTTATTTAAAATTCATTCTAGAATATGCGTTTAACTGATTCCTTTCGTTTAAATTTTAATCTTGCAGATGACTAAATGAAATGTAAGAATCAAAAATGCCAGAATTCCGGTCATTGAAATACAGTCACAATCAAATCGGTAAATCTTATATTTAGGATTTAATAATAATATATTGTCAAATAGTCCAAGAGTTCATATGGTATTTCACAACAGAAAAAATAAAGCTTTATAAAGGTTAAGTAATTTCAGATGGTGCATTACTTTCACAAGACTTATAATAAACATCTTTACGTAATCTTATCAATCCAAGTACGACCCTAATCATGATAAAGTTATCTTTTAGAGTTACTTTCATATCTACAAATAGCGTTACTGACTATTTCTCATCTACAAAATATCATTCATAAATCCGTTGAAGAGATATGGAGATGAACTATGGCATACTGGTTATTGTCTTCAAGTTGACATGAAGAAGTCACGGTTAAAACTGTCACCTATTTAAGCATTCCTTCTTCCCTGGCTCACTAATTAATCATTGATAAAATAGTTTTTATGAGTTTGCTTATCAATAAATTATGATCAGCCAAGAGTTTATTTGATTCACTTGTTAGGTTAAATCTATTAAAAGTGAACATTTGATTTTTTTACCTTTGCCATTTTTACTTTGATGATAAAAATAAATTCTCCAATAATTTAAGGTGTATTCAGCATTTACATTATTTACTTATCCCTGCGGAGCACATAAACACAACATTTTTCTAGATTCGAACAAATTCATTCCCGTATTATATGTTTGCCATGAGATCGATAGGAAAATAGTCCGAAAAAGACGAAGTAAGGAGTTTAAGATAGACGACAAGTAGATTCTGCGAAGGAATTGCATGGGTTATGTGTCTTTATGATTAAATGTTTTCAAGATTTCGCACAATTCTGATAGGTTGAGTATAAAAAATACTTACTCTGTGAACTGTAAAGTAATCATTTTAAAATGAAGAAAGTAACAAGGATTTGGTTATACACTATCAGTGGGATCATAAAATTTCTAAATTACCATGAAAACGGTAATTTACTAACTGTCTCCTTCTGGACTTGCGAAACAGGATTTCAGTTTAGATAGTCATATCTTTAGCAAAATACAATCATTCAATTTCAATTTATTAATATTAGCAAATTGGTCATTGTGTAAGTGATCTGTTAAAGACATGTAGTATTTTCAATAGTATGTCTTTGGATGTCTGAGAATTTTGCATTCACTTAACAATAATATATATATATATATATATATATATATATATATATATATATATATATATAAATGATTTTCAATTGTCTAATTCTGCAAACGTGTATCTTTTATTTAAATGTTTTTAAAAACTGTATGTCAAATATTTTAATTACTTAAAAATAGAAATAGTTTGATTGATTTCCATCCAAATTTACAATGAGAATCAATTATGTCAAATGAGAAATTCACTTGATTAATTGCCTGTAATAATATTTTCTAAATTAGACCAGATAAAACCATTCGGATAACAAACATAAAATGTATTGACTATTAAAAGTCAATGTTCATTTATCAAATGACCTTATGCAACCAGGCTAAGAGGATTCAAACTTCAAGTCACTGAAACTTTATCAATTGATTTCACATGAAATTGGTTTGATGTAAACGAAATGACAAATCAAGTATTAGACGATGAAAAGAACTAAAGAAGCTTATCATTCTTAATGATCCGAACTGAATAGTTTATCTATCTAGTTTACGGTTGTAAGTTTCTAATTACTATCAAAAATGAACTGCAAACAGCTTTTAGTTATTAAAAAAATTTGTTAACATTCATAGGATAGAAAACTGAAAACCACTGAAATTGGGTTTTTGTTTTCTGGAAATGTGACAACACAACATAAAACCATGGGAATTTTAAAAGGAAATGTCTATTATATTGGAGTATGTGAATTTTGTCTGATTCATAAGTTGATTTCCGAAATTCAGAAGAACAATAACAAAATCCAGTCTGTCAAGAGTTACACGAAAGTAAACAAAAGTTCAATTTCTATATTTTCAAAAACTTGATAACTTTATATAATAGGGATCGATATTTTGTGTTTAAACACATTTAAATTGTATTAGTTTTCTCATGATGGCACATAATGACGATTAATAGCTCTTTCTGATATCTTAAACATTCAACTTCTAGATAAATCAAAGGATAATCACACAATTTGAAATAGAGTATGTAAATACAATGTATTTATTTACAAAATTGCCAATTTAGTGTTACGCACTAACTTTATACCTCAAAATAAACTAGTGAATTTTGTGTGACTTTGACATTCACATTTATAGGTTTCAGTTATCGTTCTTAACATCTGTTCTTACTTAATTTGACATTTATGTTTAATTTAGTTTGTTCTTCAAAAAGACCAGAAAGAGAATGGTGTGAAAAGAGAATCATGACACTTGATGACAGATATCATATCAGATATAATAACAGCCTTCGGATATATACGAACATAAACAGAGCTTCTGGTATTTAATGACTGTTTCATCTACAAAGCTGAAAAGACTCCAGTTTGGTTTTTTTGGCAACAATCTTGACTAATTGGAAAATATCTGCTTGATGTCATCGACAACCAAGGGGGATCCGATGCAGATGTGAGTTCGCGGATCGGCAAAGCAAGGACTGCATTTCTACAGTTGAAAAATATCTGGAACTCCAAACAACTTTCAACCGAAACCGAAATCAGGATTTTCAATACACATGTCAAATGTCAATACCGTATGGAGCGGAAACTTGGAGAACTACCAAAGCCATCATCCAGAAGATATAAGTGTTAATTAACAGTTGTCTACGCAAAATACTTCGGATTCGTTGGCCAGATACCATCAGCAACAACGTACTGTAGGAGGTAACAAACCAGATTCCAGTGGAGGAGGAAATGAGGAAGAAGCTGTGGAAGTGGATAGAACACACATTACGAAAAGCACTTAACTGCGTCGCGAGACAAGCCCTCACATGGAACCCTCAAGGCAAAAGGAAAAGAGGAAGGCCAAGTAACACATGACGCCGAGAAATAGAGAAAGATATGAGAAGAATGAACAAAAACTGGACAGAACTGGAGAGGGAAGCCCAGGACAGAGTTGGCTGGAGAAAACTGGTGGGAGGCCTATGCTCCATTGGGGGTAACAGGCGTAAGTAAGTAAAGTAAGTACATATCTTAAGTTGATGATATATCTAAATATAGGTTATTTTGAAGACAGTAATAGAATTTTTATATCTCTGTGTTAGATCTAAGACATGCTTTTGTTTCTATTCTACTGATTAGACTACTTTGTTTGGTACATATAAATCTATGCTTACGATTCTTGGCAACATGAAAACTGCACAGTTATATAATTGGCAACTGAAGAAGACATGACACTGAACAAATGACCAATAACTGATTTCAAGGATATGTTGTTCCAAATGTAGTTCTCAGATTTTTTGAACCATTTATTTTGGCATCACTTTTAAAATGTGAATTACACTGACTGCATCTGTTGTTTCATGAGTACATCTCAATGTCGATATATATATATATATATATATATATATATATATATATATATATATAATTAGATTCCTTTTAGATTGTAAGCTTTTACCATCGAGTTCCCCCATGGAAATCTCATCACATCAACTAACGTCAGCTACATGAATATGGTTTTAAACTAGTTTTCGTCTAAACTGCCTAACTGATTGTACATATTTGCGGGAAATTGATTCTTACTTTAAATCTTTCATGAAAATCTCTAACCAAATTTTTTTTTTATGTGTGGGAACGACAGATTCTTTCTGTATTATTTCATCTCATTCACATCGAAAATTGTCTCATTTTTTTAGTCGACTTCAAGGCAATTGATCATCGTCAATGTTTAAATCAAATTTTTTACCTAATAAATAGTTGAAATAAAAAGTTTTTAAAGTCAAATCTATTTTTTTAGCTGCATAATCACAATTTCTGGCTTATATTGATTCTTTTTTAAAATCCAAATTTGATAATCAATCGAATTACTGGATTGCAAGAGATAAGTTAATGCACATTGAAATCATCAATCAGTCAATCATTGTTAGACCATTATTAGAAACCTGGAAGCATTGGATGGTCGTCTCGTCCTGGGGCGAGACTTGTCAGCAGTGCGCATCCACGGCACCTGCACCTCGCAGGATTCGAATCAAGGACCTTCGTTCTTGCTCATGAACGCCTAACCTGGGAGGTGCAGGTGTCGTGGATGCACACTACTGATGAGTCGCACACCAGGACAAAACAGCCTTCCAGTTCTTCCAAGTTTCCAATGGTGGTCTAACAATGATTGACTGATTGATAATTTCAATGTGTAAAAACTCTAATCACCCGAACTCTAATTGAAAAAAAGACAAGTTAATAATAGATTTAGGAAATGATGAAATAAAAATTAAAGTATAAACATTTCTATTTATACACTCGATATAGTCCGTTATATGTCAACGTATATGTTATCGTGAACAAAAAGAATTATTATTACTATTATTATTATTATGAAATGAAGTTGTAATAATTTACTTTTTTTCCCAAAACTATGTTGATTGAATAGTTTATGAATGAAAATTGCATAATGTGTTATTTTGAGCTGATCGGTTGTTTGTGGCTGTTTCCATGTTAGTTGAACTCTTCTGATGTCATTATTATGATCATAGTTATTATTAACTTCCAATTCATTGATGACAGACAAATTGATCGGTGTTAATGGAAGTGAAATAACCTAAACACTCAGAATACAAAAACATAAATATATCGAAATCATTAATCCGAATTTTTTTAAGCGTCAAAACATCACAAACGTAATGATTTGTAGTAAATCTGTTCCTACATTACATTAAGTTATAGACACTTTATGGCGTTCAAAAAGATCAAGTAGGTGTTTCATTGAAAATCCATTATTTGCCATGTAGTGTAAACAAAGATTCAAAACAAGTTCAAATTTAAAAATGTATATGTAAAATGTATTGAGTGACGAAATGTCTTGTAAATAGACTAAGTTTTGGAAAGTGTAGGTTAATAGATCAATCAGAGTTAGACATTTAGACCGTTGGATGCCGGCTCAGCGGTCCGATGGTTGGGCGTTCGCTAAGGTCCCAGGTTCGAATCCTACGAGGAGCCGGAGTTGTGGATGCGCACTGCTGATCAGTCCCATACCAGAACGAAACGGCCGTCCAGTGCTTCCAGGTTTCTAATGGTGGTCTAACAATGATTGATTAATGATTTCAAATGTGTAAAAACACAAACCTCCAAAAATCTGCCCCATAATAGATTATTAGCCGCTTATAATAAAAAGTGAGCATTTGAGTTTAGTGTTTAAAACTTTTGGGAGAATTTCATTTTTATATTTCAGTTGGTACTTAATTTTGGCATAATTAGAAATATATAACAACTTCTCTTTGTCTATCAAATTACTGTTATACGACACTTACTGAACTGTGCCTAAGATTTATCAATAAGTACATTGGAAACCCTTATTTTCAGTAAAACAAACTGCGGCTCATTAAGATGACATCTTTTTTTGATCGATGATATTTACATATATATCATTCTCGACTAATGATACATGTTAGTTTCTGTAATTGAATTTCATTTCCGTTTATAATAAATTGTTAAAAATTTCATATTCAATTAAAATCTAATTCAATGTACAGAAGGATATTCATTCAAATAATTCAATAAAAGTTCCTTTTAATAAAAAGAAACTACATTGTTCAACGAAGTTATTGATTTCAAAATACAAGCTTCTACGAGTTTACTAAACTGTCGATGTGTCAAGAAATCATAATCGCTGGAACCTCGAGACATTATCATTAAATGAAATTTGATCAAGCTTAAACCATAATATAAACTTGAAGTAATCACTGCTGGTGAATGATTACTTCTTTTCATATTTTTAATCAAATCCAACTGAACAATACCATTTAATAGAGATCTCTTACTTTTAATTCCGTTTTAAGTGTATAATTACCACTGGGTGATAGGATTTCACAAATATAATAACCTTGATGCAATTCATTCACATTGGTAACGTGTAAAATTGATCCATACTCTTTTAGTCCAATTGGTGTTTTGTACTTTTGTGGAACTTCACGTGAAAAAGAAGTAATAACTGGATCTATTGGTATAGATTTGACAAGATTGTAATTTGTAATTACTTTTGTATTCGGTTTGCTTGTTTTACGATGTATCATGGTATTTTTGTGTTGTTGGTGTTTTTCACCAGACAGAGTAAATTCTTTTCTTCCATGATACCAATTAATTTCAGCAAGTGTATGTTGATCAATATGAAATGAGCACATTAATGATAAACTTTGATTTGCGAATGCTGTTATTGAACTTGGTAAATTATGAACAGGTACAGTACGAGCTGTGATTGATAACAAAGAACAAATTTTATGATAAAATGTTATACATGTAACCGAATTTATGTATACGGTAGTCAAGTTGAAGAATTCAAATTCTAGAGATGAAAAGAAACCTACAGTGCTATTCAAAATGTATTAAAAACGATTGAATGGAGTAAATTTTCTTTTTGATAATATCATTTACTGAGACTGCATAATCGTATTTATGATGATTGCAAATATATATATCAGTCAACGGAAGAATAGAAAGATAGTAAATTATAAAGTGTTTGAAGATTTCACGTATTACAAGAAAGTCACCTCGTAGTCTAACGATTATCGAAGAAATAATTTGCAGATCAGAAAATTGAGCCATTCTTATCAACTTCACAGCTATAAGGAGGAGATATCAACATCGGAGCGATAGTAACAACTCTTTGATCAATAAAATTAACAAAGGGCAATAACAAGTGGTTATGGACTATAGTTAAATCAGAAAGTATGTTAGATTCATGAAAGAACGAGAGGTCGTACATGTCACTTTTCTATGAAGAATTCAAACCAGAGTTTCACAATGACCAAGGCCATAAGAGTTCGCTGGTCTCGCATTCTTGCTCCCATTAACTTGATGATACAAATTTAGCTGAAAAACAGAATTGACTAAATGTTTCTCTGTTGAGCTGTTCATTGCCTGAATTCCAGGGCGCTTCAGAAATAACTGGCTTTGGGTGGCCAGTGAGGTCTCCCTTTAAGAGTTAGTTTAATTACAAATTTATATAGATCATTGTGAACATTATAGCACAACTTCAACAAATGATAGATTTGAAAAGGAAATCTTACTAACTGAAATGTCTTTTTGAAGAGTTTATGTTAGAAACTTTCGATACGACTTGTAGCCAATAATCAGCAGTTTTACAAGATCTTTTAAAAGGCTGCAGTAAGTTTGTTTACTCGAATAAAACTTTGATTGACATGATCAATGGATTATGAAAATAGCAGCTCTGTCCCATTAAAATCTCATCAAAGAAAGGTTCTTTTCATTGAATGATACTTTAGAACTGTGTTCCTGATGATATTTATGTCATCACATTTCTATGCAAAACATTTTAGCCATCAAACTGCCTAATTTTTATCATCTATGCCTATATTCAACCTAACATTTTAAGACTTGTTTGTTACTAACATACTGGTTTGTTTAATTTCCTTAGTTGACATCAAAAATCGATCCTATGACGGTTGTTTAATCAAAACTGATCGGTCACTTAAACTTCTTCGTTATTCAAATGGCCAGACAAATAGCTCTGTTCACAAAATATTCATTCTGTCTGCATTCGCAATAGCATGATTGTCAATGACAATGTTCCTTGATAATTCTAGGTACAATCCACCATTCTAACTGTAGATCGATTCTAACAACTCTACGAGGTCTCTGTTGTTGGCACGAACTTAAGAACAATCGAAAACCAAATACTTTCACTGAAAGCTATAACTTACATGCATGAAGATCATTTTAGCATAAAAACTTACCATGGTGAATGCTAGAATGGCAACTTTTACATACAATGCAAACTAAGTTTCTATTATTTTATTCTGATTTAAAATGCTCAAAGAATAACTTTTAATGATGAATGATGAGCTAACAAGTCTTACTTCTTTAAAAGTAATTAGTCTAATTCCTTCTTGTATTTTATCGTTAACATACACCGAAATAAACAATCACTCTGCATTTCTTTGAATGTTTATTGAATTAACTTTCACCACGTAGAATTATGAAAATAAAGGAAAAGTACAATCACACTTACCATAAACATGAACATTTATAAAAGCAGATTCATTGCCTAAATAATTCACTGCTTCACATTTATATCGACCAGTTGATTTATAATCGACATGATCAATTTTCAATTCATTTGAACCAAATGATACACATGAATTAGATAATTGTTTTGGAGATTTGAATTGATCGTTCATTAAATTTACTCCGGTAACATTTTGGTCAACTAAATTGTTTTGTTTTGTTTCAATTGATGAATGATTTAAATTTCGATATAATTGATCAATTGGTGTCCATTCATTTTCATTGGTTTCTATAGAAAGTCAAGAACATTAAATCAAGTGTAGTATAGCTTCTTAATTTCCTACATTACTTATCATTTTAATGATTAATTGTAGCTATAAAAAATATTCATGTGAATTGTGTGATATTTCTTGATGACATTATTCGCTGTGAAATATGATGATTGTTTTGAATTGGTACATTGTGATTTTTCTTTAAAATGAAAAAGTTTGAAACACAAATGATACCACATGTTTGAGTTTAATTATTTCTAACCTTTTTTGTTTTATTAGAACATGTGGAATTTATTTCGAGGATAATCCATTGATGTCAGATGGAATTAAATTTAACTATCGTTAATAAAAACACGTCCACAGTTTCTAGTCAACTTATTGATAATGAAAAATAAAATTAGTTGAAGTTAAATTTTTTTGAATAAGCAGTTAAGACAGTGACATATTCATTCAATCACTCACCTTTATACCATTTAAATTCAGGTGTTGGTGCTCCATGAATAGGGCAAGTTAGAACTGTCGTCGATTCTGTTAATACTGTGATATTCTCTATACCGGTTTCCGAATTACATAATCTTGGAGCAAACGCTGAAAAAAAACGTTTTTTAGTTATATTACCGAAGATGAACGAGATCGTTGAGTGATAAACTTTCAATAAATGGTCAGTGACGATGAAATTGTACATGAATTTATTCAGGGGAGGATTTAAAATAACCTTAATTACCTTTGATCTGATGTCTCTTCTCCTAACTTTCACTCAAATCACAGCAATATTGTTACATGTTATTTATTTTAAAATATCGATTTACCTTAGATAACAAAGCGCATTATATTTGGTCAAACATATCTTTACCATGTTTCAAAGAAAGAAGGAATAGCCAACCTAGTGAAGCCTAAATAAAGAAAAACTTCTATTCCGTAAAGTTAATTCAGTTAATGAGATTGTATACATCCACCCTTAGAAATGTTTGGGACACTTGTATAACTTCTGGAAAAACCATGCATCTTCATATACAATTTTGGGTTAATCAGATTTATTTTGGAAAACACTCTGGTTGCGTCGTAAATGACACAACAAGGTCTAAAATCACTTCAACTCATAAAAGTAAGTCACGAAAATAATTCCGATATTATAAGAAGAATTCCTTCTAACGTAAACACAATAGTTTTGTATTCTTTTTAACGTGAATCTTAATCTAACATAGAAAGAATAGATATTTTCGCTTTATCTCTTAAACGATTTACCATTCTCTTTCTTCAACTCATACCTTCTTCATTAGGAGAGTAAATCGTCATTTTTTTCATCGAATTCCCCTAACAATGTGTTTCTCGGGAGAATGACAACTTACTATACAAGCGAGAATATTTATCTTCCGCTTATTCAAACTATCATATAACCTTATAAGAAGCTTGATAATATCAACAGATGGCCTGAAAGATACTAATTCCATTAAGTGTAGATTATTTTTTTGAATAATAGCTAAAGGGTTGAATCTGTTGAATTTCTTACAATAAACAACAATAGCTTTTTCTTTCCTCTTTGTCTAATACATATGCACAATTTAAACACATTTTTCGTCTTGTATTAGTATGGACATGGATAAGATAATCACTGAAATTAATTGCTCATATTAACGGTTACTGATTGATCAATGAAACTGATCTAGTAGATTAAGCGAAATATTCAAATGAATTATTGGAACATTAAACTATTATCTTATACATGATCATTCTAGTTTACTGTTCTTCAGCAATTATATTAAATACATTTAAATAAATAAATATACATAGAGTTTTAAAAATAATTGTAGTGATTATTTTTAATTGACGTAGTCAAATTCACTTTTTGCTAACAATCTGTCACAGTTGGATAGAAGAAAATACAACGTTTAGAAAATTGTATGAACCAGTCTTCTTAACAAGACAGTATATAACAGATCTAATTTGAAATGTAATCGACATTGCATCACCATAATCGATATCAAACACTTGGAAAGAATAATGATGGAACAAATTTATCTGTATATCGGTAAACTCATCACATACTGTTTTATAAAATGTATTACGGCAAAAGTCTATGATTGACGTTGATAATAACGTTGATGCGTAGTTAAAATTTAAAATACTAAGCTAATCAGTTTTTCACTGACAAAATGTTTACTGAATTCTAGTTTTAACTTATAACAAACGATTGAATAAAACCTAACCCAATTAAGTTTCAATCTTTTGCCTAAAAGATATTAAGTTTGATGAAACTTTGCCGGCTACCGAAAAGAATCCGTGATGAATAGCACCTTAAAATCTATGAATCTCATTCAAAAATAAAAGTCCTAATCACTAACAACAGTGTACTAAATCGTCAAAAAGTAGAGATACTAAACAGGAATATATTTTCGAAAAGTAATATGCTCAACAAATTAGGTGAAATAGTGAAATGTAAATTATATCTTGAAGAATTTCAAGTTAAAAATGATCAGCCAATGAATATAAGCTAAATCTGGTGACGCAGAGTTCATCTTAAGGAGCAAGGTAATATACAATAATTCAGGGACACTTAATCTGCCCACTGCATCTTACTATAGTGACCTACTTACAGTGCAATAAATATACTTTTAAGAAAATAAACTTAGTTAATATTAGGGATAAGACCTAGATAACGTGTTCCTAAACCACCCACACTTAACTTCTTATTAGAAGGCAATAAAAGTCTCAGTAATTCTCTTCCAGTATATTCTATCATGACATCCAAACTATGGCCCAAATTCTGCATTGTTGTATTCTCAAATGGAAGATGATAAAAAGCTTGTTCACAGTAACTCTGACAAATTTTTTAATTAATAATCTCAACCTTACGTATGATCTTTCAATGTATAAACTAAAAAACAGTGCTTTTCAAGAGGTCTGACATCACGATTATTGATTGTCTCTAACTCTAAGTAACTTGTCCATAACTGAAAATTCTACCACAATATACCGTATACTCCGATAGTATATTTTTGTCAGAGCAGTTTTGTTTTATTAACCAACTCCCATAAGATTTTCTTCACTATATAATTAGCGGTATAGAGTAATAGACGGCAATAAATTTCATGCAGTATCATAAAACAAAACTTAACTCGTGCATGAAAAATGAGTATGGATCGATTAGCAAAACCTTGTTTCATAGTTATCTGTTCACAGTTTGTGTTTGTTTTTAATAACATCTACATTCTTACCAAATAAAACAATATTTTCCTGAACATACAGTTAATATACTCAACTCCATTTAACATCATGTCAGGTTTCCGGTAAATTTGAAATATTTCAATGATACTTAAGGATTAGGTAATAAATTGGAAGATTTTGCAACCCGCAATAAATAATATTTGCTCATACAGCAGACTCAAAGCTTGATAATCAGTTTATAGCACATATTCTGATCCACTAAAGTCATTTGATCTTATTTTTTAGAATCTTATTAAATTCATGCGATGTTAAGGACTGTTCTGAGGGACAGTCTGTTGAGTTAAATAGTTATTTGTAAATGCGACAAGCATTTCTCGTGAAACGTGAATTTCCAAAGAAACATGTATGAGTATAACTATTGTCTACCTGCTTGGCTTCTTAAATCATTAATCATAAACAACATTTTCAGCTATGCGAAAGTTCGTTCACTATTCGAATGATAACCAATAAATAGTGAATAGATTGTTAGCTATTGTTATGACTGTCAACCCTATACACTTATATGAAAACCGTGATAGTTGAGCACAGTGATGAAATGATTTCATGACTTAATCAGTACAGTAGTAGTGAAATACACTGACATTCTCTCTGAACATCTAAAACAATAAACTCGTAGAAATTTCTAGGGAACATAATCAAATTTACGAGAAGTAGCTAAGGCATTTCTCTTTACCTAGTAAAACAAAATCAACACAACATAAATTTAAAACACATTTTGTGAACAATAAACAAGAAATGAAAATTGTAACTTACATGTTACTTTTAACCAAATATTTAGAAAATCTTCATCCACATCATTATAAGCATAACATTGAAAAATACCAGCATCCGTTAATTTCAAATTTTTAATCAGTAAACTGTTATTGGCATGAATTTCGTAACTAAATAAATTTTTTTCAAAGTTTAGAAATGTATGAAAAAAAAATACGTATATCCATAAGAAAACGACACTAGGATTGTCATATTATTAGAAAGATAACAGTATCATTGAGATAAATCTTATATCATTTGAAACGATTAACAGAGAGAGAATCATTCCAATCAGTTTTATTTAATCATGCTGCAGTGAATAAAATACAACTCAACAATGGAATACACATTCAAAACGGAGAGAAATATTTATCTTGGTAAATTAATTCTATTTAATATTTGAAGCCTTATTTTAAATCAACTTGCTCATAGTATAGCTATACATGATTCATCATTATGTCAGTGAATTGAAATTGTTCATTAAAAAAAAATTTAGTTATTGAATACAAATTTATCATTTTGATTGTTCAATAAGTAATACAACAAATGGTGAGGTTGATTTTATTTTTAAAACATAAAATACAAGTTTATTGTAAAGTTATTTTGATATCAGAGTATACAGTTGTATCTCAAATTGTAAGTCTAATTTTGTTGCATATTTTTATTTGCCAAATTTTAAAATAGTAGTAGACATTAAAACAGTTTTACTGAATATCGTGATCGTTGTTAAAAAAAAAAATAATGGGCACTAAAATTCTACAACTAATCATAGGTATTTTATAAATTTAACTAACTGTTGATTTCACTACTGAATTACGCCGATATTTTTCGAAAATTAAAAATTCAGATAGATTATTTATTCAGTGATACAACGTGGGGAATGAAATTACCTAGAACAGATCTATGCACTAAATCATTCTGTTTCAGTCTATGTTTAGATAAGTGTTATCTGTCTATTCAATCATCAATTTTTTTGTAAATGGTTCATTGGTTTTAAAATACAAAACTTGATTAAATATATAAATTAGAAAAATAACAGTTTAGCTAAAATAAGAGCTGACGTAAGTTGATTCTGACAAATTTTTGGTTTATTTTTATTCACCAGCTTTTATTATCTTTAAGATATTTGCTGAAAAATATCCTCTTGCATTATTTCGGAGTATCAGTAATGAAATAATTACACAGTAAACAGATAGTTTTTAATGGCCTGGAATCTGACTGCAATTTGGACGAACAGTTTTATATCGTATGAAATAAATCCTTTTTCTAATTTCCGTATACAATGCTCGGACGAACTCCATTTGTGCGGCCGCGGGAATAGGAAACAGAATACCGATATAACTGGATAAGCTTATTTCGCACTGACGGACATGAAGAAAAAAGGCAGGAAAGCGAAGCAAAGTGAAGCGTAGAAGGCGAGTGGTACTACTCAATGCAATGAGACATGACTAACTAATGATAGTCAGTGAAAAATAAGCTAGATTTATGATAAACGAAGCAAGCAATTCATATACGTACTCAAGTTAAAACAGCCAATTTATGAGCGAATAACTGATGAGGTCGAGAGATGTGTGAATAACTCGAACAGAATGAATTAGTTAATTTGTTCAAAGGCTAGGACAAATCATGTGGTCTAGACATATTAGTACACACTACGAGATATGTATAGTGATAGTACAATCCCGTACTAACCCCGCTTCACTCTTGTTATCTTCTTATCTATCCTTCAATCTTAAGCATATTTTTTATCTAGTTTCTTTAAAATTTTTGATGTACTAATCAGTTATTAAATAAATCAATGATAAATGTGAATTTCTCATCTAAAATACTTCAGTCTGAACTGAATTTTCTAAATTCTAAATTATTATGATTGTCTAATATTTCTGGCGTGCAAAAAAAACCGATTACTACCGGTGATATTCTTCTCATTCACACTGTCTATATGTGTTTTTTTCCACTGATCAATAAAGCTTTTTTTAATATTTAATTTTTTTCTAAATAAAGATATATTTTACTATCTTTTAAACAATTAAGAAGTTTATAAACAAATTCACCCATGACTAAATACAAAATGGTATGATTTTAAATTGAATTATTGAATTATTAATGAATATTTAATGTGAACATTTATTAAATCTTATCCAATGTACATTAATTTTTTAAAGGGCTAGTAAATTTGAAAATAAAAAAAACTGTTAGCTTCGTAATTACTTATTTTTGCGTTCTGGAATGAAACAATTATTCAAAACTATCTAGGTTTTCAATACATAATGAATATTCATTCTTTAATTAATGATTGCAATAATTATAAAAACTTTTAAAATAATAAATGAAATATCGTTGGTTACTAAAATAGAAAAACAAATTCTATTCAAACAAGAAGTATTTTTCAATCAATGTCGTTAACTAAAGCTGTGTGATTTTATTTTTTTCTGTCAAATTATATGTATTTATCAACTGTCCTTACTATTTTAACATTCTTGTTGAGTGATAAATGATCTACCTAGGAGTCTCTCTCTATAAAAAAATACAGAGTCTCTATAGTAGCTCAGCTTATTAATAAAATATAATGAATACCTGTCGATTTTCTCCAGACGATTCAATTGTAGCTAACCTTCTATGAAACGCCTTAGTGTGTGTATTACTCGGTCGTTCTAAATTACAGCAAAACAGCTATTTGACATTCGCTGGTTTTAGCGGTAGTTGATTTATAGTTCTGACAGAAATTACTGTTATAAGGTATATTTTGTGCTTAATATTTCATATACAAATTGTATTTATAATGATCTATCAATATTTGTAGAAATCTGTAATCATATGATGATCTTACATTTTTCTCTCTATTTATTAGTCAAGATTTATCCGTGTCAAAACGTCTACGTGGCTTTTAAATACTTTTTTTCGGACAAGTTCCAAAACTAAAACTACTACCATCTGTATTTTAAACAATGAATCATATAAACTTTTTGTTGAAATTTGAATGGAATTATAAAAGATATTTTAGAAAAGATAAAAGATTTCTACACATGCTAATCAATAATCAGTAACCAATGTCATTCATGCACATCCTTTAATGTAGATCGAATTCTGTCGATCATTACTTTGATTGATTATACATCGTATATCCGATATTTTGATACTTGGTACATTCTTAGAAGAAAGTGGAACTAAGCTACAAATCTTAATAGGAATAAAGCTACGTCTTAATGAAGGTGTCAACTGTTACAATTTTAAGCCTCCCTTTTGTTGACAAATTTGATTTTCTGATTAATTTATAATGAAAAACAAACCAATATGAATAAGAGAGTTCATTGAAAATAAATTCGGAATATTACCATACTGACGTTTCATGAAAAACTATTCAAAAGTTGTGAATTAATAGTCTTATCCAATTGTATTTTTTATTGATTTATTGATATTTTTTAATAAAGTTATAAATTAAAAAGTTAATGAATTAAAACGCAACTTGATGAACTATAATTTTATATTCACTTCCCCGTTAACTCATTCGTAATTCATTTGTAACAACTTGTAATAGTTTTCATATTATTTTTATACAAAGCTGAAATTAGTTAGGAGAAAAGATGTAAAACTTTAAAAAAATCTATTGGTCAGTTGTTTCATTTTAATCAAGAAACTATTAACTAACATACTTTCTGGCTAAAATAGATCAATGATATTACTTGATCAAGTTGAACTGTGGTCAATTCAAACTTTAATACAACAATCATCTGATAAGTTATATTTCCACTTCCAGTGATTCTTGACATTTATTTTTTCAAAAATATTTCTATGATACATTTGACTGAAATAATAACGATGATTTTAGTGATTCGTAAGTGATTAACGACTGATGATTTACTTTATTACTTATAATCTTTGATGTCTGAGAAGAAATCATCACAACTACGTTTTGACTAAACCAATAATGAACCAAACTGCTAATAATTTTAGCATTGTATCCCTTATCAATGTATTGATTTTTTTTAAAACACTGTGTTTAGATTACAATCACGTAACTGTTCAGCTTTACTTACACATTTTCATCATGAACTGCTCTTAGTTAGAAGATCACTGAAAATAACACAGTTAAGGATCGAACGCAGAATGTTTGGATGTCGCACCAAGCACATAATCTTAAGACTTAAAATCCAGCAGTTAAAATTTTCATATTCAATCATTTCAAAAAAAATTAATTTTAATTTGTATTCATCCAGTGATTATTATTCATAAAAAGAGAGAAATTAGAAAATTCAACCTCTAGATAATATTTTATCTCCTAATGATTTGCAATTTAAATATATTCTAAACTTTTGCTCGTGATCATTTTTTATCAAGTTCAAAATGGAAAAGAACCTGTGGAATTTTTATCATTTAAATACAATGTATATATATATTTTAGAATTGTAAAAATTAGACAAATATTGTTGAATTTTTTTAGTGTGACCATCCATTCAAACTTTATGGTTGATGTTCGTCAGAGTTAGACATTAACACCGCTGGATGCCGGCCCAGTGGTCCAGACGTTAGGCGCTCGCACGCAAGACCGAAGGTCCCGGGTTCGAATCCTGTGGGGTAAAGGAGTCGTGGATGCACACTCCTGATGAGTCCCATACCCGGACGAAACGACCGGCTAGTGGTTCCAGGTTTCTAATGGTTGTCGAAAAATGATCGATTGATGCTTTCAAATTTCAGTAATATAGCAGTAAAGACGGAAAACTAGCAGATTATATTGACACTACATGTCAACGCAAAAATTGAAGTAGATCTGTGAGTCTCCTTTTTGTATTGATTCAAATCTTGATAGGATCTGAGATAAATATGAATAGAGCAAATTTATGACACGTCACGTTATCACAGTGAGTTTGTAAATCATCGCATTTACTGATAACTTAAATTAAAAAATGAAAGGTGATAAATTGAACTAATGAATATATAAATATGAAAAGTACACAAGAACACCATTTATACCATATTCAGAGAAATAAAAATGATAATCAAGCACAAAGCAAAGCGTTTTATAAAACAGTATTATTTTGATGGCAGAGGATGAATTGCCATACATGATTTTTAAAAGTGTATAAGCTGAATGGAAAGAAAGTTGAAAGATTATAAGTAAATTTTGTTCAGTGCAATCTATGTATTATGAGAACTTTGTATTCCCTTAATTGAAAGTTCTGGAGTTTGTGATTTTATTGAATTATACTCCTGAATAAATTTGTTGAGAGTTCATTTCTTTAACTATTAAAATGACTTCATTAGAAAATATACTAATATCATGATTACAATTCAAAGATCCTATCAAAACATGTAAATGAATAAATTCGGTTTACATAAACTCAACTGAATACTTTTGATAAATCAGTAAGTAATATTATGCATCGTGTTTCTCAAAACATAATAATCAAACTGTCATATACGAATTTACAATAGATCTGTTATAAATTGTATCTTACATTTGCATTCGTTAAATAAACTCATATTGTGATAATCATTATGAACAGATTATTCTTAATTATTTTTTAACTGGATTCGATAATTTATCAAAACATTCGCTCAAATATTTTTGTTTCGAGATTTGTATAAATTTGTCATAAACTTAAAAACCTCATTCAACAAAGAGCTTTCGATAAATGCTTTAGTCTCATCTCCAACTCTTCAGTACACCATAGGTAGTAACATGAACAATATCACATACTTTTAGTCAATCAATGAGAAGCTATAGACTTTAGGTTAATGGTAGTTTTACGCTTGAGGGTAGAATTAGCATTGCCAGATATTTTGCAAACAGGGGCCAAATAAAGATAGGTCATTCTAATAGTCTCATTCAATTACTTAACGTACAAACATGGTGCCCTCATTGTCCAGTCACTTAAAATAATGCTTTGATCAACAATAAGTAATAGGTAAACTTACAGAAACTTTAGTAATATAACTTTTCCCTCAATGGTCTTGGGTAATTGTACATTAATTTTCACGATAACTGGACACTGTCCAGGTTCTAACACTACAATCTGAACACTATAACTCAATTCTGTGGTGTGACCACACAGGTACCGAACATCCTTCTGCACCACAGTAAGCATGACAATATTTACAATCCAGTGATAAATCGAGATGAATATGTCATTTGCATGCACCGAAAATGATTATTTCATCAATTTAGCTAATATTACCCTCACAAACCTCGTCCGTCTTAAAAACCATAGAACAGAATACCAACAATTCAACAAACACCTGATAATGTAAGTAAACAACAAGACTACGATGGATTATAAACAAATAATCCTAATATGTACATAAAAAGTTAGAAAACTGTAAAACAGATTAATTATTAATAATTTTTGAATGCAAAAAATTATGGCTGCAGTCAATAAAAATAAGATGAGACTTTACTATTAAGACAATGAAAAAAATACCACAACTCAAATGTTTACTAAATAAACAAAAATATTATGTTTGCTGATTCATCACAGAACAAGTTTCAGAAGTTTACATTTTCATCTATTCACCTAATCTAAATAAAATCCACAAAAAAATAGAATTTTTACAAATTATTAACTTTTAGTATGGGTTTGCGTGGATGGCCACGCAAGGTCGTGAAATGAGTGAATCTTCAGTTGTACACCATAGGCTCTAGACTTGAAGTTCTAGAAATCAGATACTTACTCACGAGCCTGGCTCTGTAGTCAAACCCTGGCGGTTTAACCATAGATGTGCAGTGCTATGGATGCCCGTGAAAGGACAAAATAACCGTCATCTGCTTCTAGGTTTTCAATGATTGCTTAACTTAAATCGTTTTTGATCTCAAAGGCAGAACTATCTATTGTTTGTAAAAGTAGTCATATTATATTTTTTCCAATCTGTTTAACGTATTGAAAGTTATATTAGAAATCTAGGATAACTTTTAAAGTTGTCACTGCTTGTAAATAATCACCATATTCAGATTATTTTGATAGTAGTGCGGTAGTTGTACTAAGCACTAAGTGTAACTTCATCAGAAATATATTCTTGCTTAATAAGAAATCGCAAATAGTTTACTGAAAAAAAAAGTCTATGCGTAACTTAGATAAACCTGTTGATGAGTTGAAAAAGTTCCGCATACGATTTATTGTAAAATATTTGGAATGATAATTGTTTTTAATAGTTAAACTATTTACTTACTTTTCATAAATTAACTTCATTCGATCAAACAATTACACTAAACACCATGTACATTAATTTGGATACACTTTGTATGACATAATTAATGAGAGATAAAATTTACAATATTCACTTAAACCGTAGCTTGATAAAAATCCATGAAGATCTAATCGGTTATTTTTATAGAAGAAAGGTCAAATTTTGTCACTACTCTAAATATGGATATACATGTATATACATATAACTGGGTATCACAAATGACAAACAAATAATAAACATTATTCTGACCATAACGAGAATATAATAATATGGAACTTACTATTCTTGTTCAAGCATATCAATTGATTCACCATTTCTTAACCATTTAACTTCAGCTTTCGGTATACCGAAATGATCTAATTCACACGGTAATTGAACAGTCATACTGGCGCTTGTTTCAATGATAATTAATTTATTATATTTCGGAATAATTTGAAATTGACTTGTCAAACTGTTCGCATTCAAATTCGATGGAAAATGAATTTTCGGCGGTAGATATAATTTTAATCTAGCTGTAGTTGAAATAGGACTGACACTTTGATAAATATTAATCGTAGAAGTTGTAGAAGGCCACAAAGAGGAGGATAAGATTGATGTTGTAAACTGAGAATCATCTAACATGAATTTATTCATATCAAATACATTATTCCTATTGTAATCATCTAAATAAGCATGACATGTATATTCTTCGAAATAAATTTCTTTTACATTGATTTGTTGAAAATAATCGGAAGGAATAACACTCGGTAATATATTACTAATAATTAAAGTTCGGTTTAAACCTGATGTATCAAACTGATAAATAGTTTGATCATTGATACTTGAATTATGATTGGTTGATTGTTTTGCTAATAATGGAGTAACATTTGATGGATTGATAAGTTCACGTTTACCATTCAACACTCTTTTAAACCATTGAACTCTTAATGCATGAGAAGGTCTACAATTTTTAAAAAAATTTGTCTTATAATATGGACTTAAGTTGTAGACAATTATTTACGAATCAAAATTACATGTAATATGATGTCTGGATTGAAATAGTTGTGAATGAACTAAAAGTATCAGTGACATTCATTTTATGGTACATGGTCATAAGTATGAATAAAATAAAATTTCTATCAAAGTTCACGTTCATTAGCTATATTTATTTACCATCCATTAAATAATATTTACCTCAAATTTAGAATCTAAGCAACATCTTAAGCTTTCAAGGATAATAGATTTTTATCTTATCTCAAAGTTAACTTAATGCGTATTTATTGTTTTTTCAAGCTGAAAGAATGAATACTACTAACAAGATTTTGCCAATGGCAACTTAGACAAAAATCAACTACTAAATTAACAGAAGCTTAGAACTCAATTAAATAGTTTTTCTTGTAATCCACTGATGTTTACCTACTAATTATTAAGGTTAGTTGATTTCGCTTTCTATTTAAATTGCTAATTGATCAATGTTAGACCACCAGTGAAAAACCGGTGGCTTTAGACGACCGTTTCGTCTTAGTACAGAACTCATAAGCAGTGTACACTCATGGTCACGTAAGTGGAGATCGAACACAAGACCCTCGGTCTTGTGCACAAATAATTAACCTCTTGATCACTTAGCCTGAGTCCAACGACGTTAATGTACTACTTTAATCGATCAATAATATTGCCTAACTAGCATTCCATACTGGGACAAAACAACCACCTAGTGCTTCCAAGTCTCCAAAGGTGGTCCAACATAGATATATTCATGATTTCATCGAAACTCAATAATCTCTATACTGATGTTATGTATTTTTTTAAGATTCAGAAATCCTTTTTTTTGTCCTACTACAAAAAATCTGACTGGTTATTCATTCATACTTTCATCATTTGGATGATTTTCTTTCGTGAAACACCTTCCTTTTAAAACAAATAAAATTTTTATTCTGAATAATGTCAAGTGAAAGACGAGTGAGAACTAGAAAGCAGTAAAAAACAGTCCCATTGTAATCTTGAACTTCTTATCATTATACACTTAAAAACTTCACCAGAAGCCAAATTCCAAATCATCATTTATCATGATGAGTTCAGTACCAGCAAACAAAGGGCTACAAGAAAAATCATGATTAAATATCTTTTTAACACTTGTGAACTAATTAGACAGCTCGCTGTCAAGATGTATATAATGTGCTGCAAAGGTATGCACTGAATATATCAATGTGAAAAACTTAAATACTACACAATCATTTTAAATCAGCCCTATTGTTAATTCGTGAAACTCATAATCACTAGTCTTCAAAGTGAGCATGGTTATTCATCCTAGCTATATGATTGTGTTGTCTCTGCTTGCTAAGTTCTCAGTAGTATATCCTGAAATAATCAAAAACAAAATATACTAAAATTAAGTGCATTTATCACATATAAACGATGATTCCACTCATTTGTTTTTCACCTAGAAAAGTTTCCTTTTTTAGCTTTTTTATCATTTTGCATTTAACTAGGCTAAATTAAGTAGCAACCAACTAAAAAATAGCTTTCAACATTTATATACAATATATTTTCCACTTAATATTGATTAAAGTTTATTTCTGTTTATATAAGACATGAATAATTTCCCTTAATAACACCGAGCCACTTTATTTTTTTTGGACAAATAATAATAGTAATAATAAATCTCTATTATCCCATTTGTTTGAAACTTTTTAAGCAATACTACCAACGAAGATAACTACAATCAAAACAACTGAACTTTGTCCTCGTTTGCTTTCATAGATTTTTATTGAAATCGTTTGCAACATCTTGAGTGCATGAGTCATGGATGCGAACTGCTGGCGAGTCCCATACTAGGACGAAACGGCTATCTAGTGATTCCAGTTTTCTAATGTTGACTTAAAATCAATGGATTCATGATTTCAACATGTAAATGATAGTAATGATAACAATAGTCTGTTATTTTTCTACAAAAACGTCTGCTACCACAAAATATGAAAATCAGCAATCAGATAGATATGATTAACTGAACCAAATGTATCCTTCTTATAAAAATCATTCACAATTCAAAAAGCTTACAGATACTGTTTTTCATTACGATATGTGTCTCAGGTTATTATAATACCATGTACTTTACCAGATTCACTTCAGTCTGGAGATGACTTCTAACAAATAAATCCAGTTATTATTCAACCTGGCTTTGTTGCCTTCTATTAACCAGTAATTATAACTATCTTAAAGAACTTTAAATACTTTGCGCTCAAATTTTAATAGTCTAAGCACTAAAAATTAAAAATTATGATCAAAATGGAAAAGTACATCATTTTTCACTTTTTCGGAATTTATCTTCAATATGGTTTAAAGCCTCAGAAATCAATATCATTACTTACGATGATATTATGCTAGATGATTCCGGTGCATAAAAAAAATTTCTCTTATGAAGTCGTTATTCGATAGACATGTCCTGTTTATTTTTAATCATTAAATAAATATTCCCATCCCTACTAAGTAGCACCATCGTTACTTATTTGTCTGATAAGAGTAACAACTTATCTGGTGTAATTTTCAGAGGAATTTTTAGCAAGCCATGTTTCCGATAGCTCGAAACCCCTCTTTAGGAACAGTAGAAGTTTTATCACCTATTGTCTTTGACGTTTTTGTTTTTCTAAACACCACTTTATTTCAATAAAACCTAATTCTCTTACCTTGCATTAAATACACATTCAAAAACGGCTGTTGCTGGCTGATCATCTTTTAAAGTAATTGATACATCTTTTGGAGGTAAGACTAGGTCTAAAGAACTGGCGGTCATATTTACAGGCGGATCTATAGAAGGATGAAACAGAAGTACGTAATTAAATGAAGAAAATGTCAACAGACAATTTTTTTATCAAAAATTAATATGAATCTTGAGATCATTACTAAGGATCATGTAGTAAAAGTTTTTCATCAACAAAGATTCATAACCTACGGCGATACTATTAAATAATAGTCTAAGGATTGACTAACTAAAATGTATAAATAGTTTCTGTAAAAGATCTATAAAATAGATAATGAATTAGAGAATTGAAACTGATGCGTTTTCATCTCATTACGCAAATTTTTCAATGTCATTCTTGAAGTGTAAAAATGTTTGAACAGAATATGGATGTACAGTCCTGTAATATCTTCACAATAGTTTTATATATCAATTTCTCACATTATTTATCAACTACCCCAAAAGGAAGCAATTCTAAGGACAAATAAGTTTCACTGAAGATAGAATAATTTGTTTCAACTTTTCTGTAGAATGAAAATTCCACGCTAACCAGATCAGTTTCGCCACAGTTGTTATTTATGAAATAAAATATCTGAGGATTTATACATTTCAAGAAAATAATACATTCAGACAGTTGGATGTTCTGGAAAAAATGCAGATCATTTTGTGATTTCATGCACAATTTATAAACAGATAATAAAATTGCGGTAAATTATAACATAGTAGTTCAATAATCAATAAGCATAATCCTCATAGTTTTGAAGTTGTCTTTGATACTTTGAAGTTGATTTTAAAGATTCGTATTTGTTGACTTCAAACTCCCAGATTAAGATAAACTCATGTCTTTGTACAAATTAAATGTTTTTGAAACAGAATTGATAGAGTTGAGTTATCTTTATGCTTTATTTTATGTATTTCTCAATGTATGCAAGATTTTCCTAAACGGTATTTTATACCTACCTTTTTCATATACTGACACATCACGAAATTTTAATACTTCATTGAATAATATCTTTATTGAAGTTTTATAAATGCTATGCGCTACACAGTAATTTCGTTAGATTTCATAGATACATGAGTTATTCAGATTAGTGTTCGTAGGCCATAATTGTGGTAACTTACCTTTCACTTGAATTATATGTGTTTGACTGAATACTTCATTGTTCACTCGACCATAGCCGTTGATCAGTCGTGCCCTGATCACCTTTGAATCCATTTCTTTACCAACATTAAGTAATATTATAGCTTGTTCCAACTGACTTACAAAAATATTTAATGTGCTAGGTAGTGGGGCATTATTTATAGTCCATATAGCTTGTGGAAATGGTACTGCTTGTAAATAGTACGAAGAAGTTATAGCTTTGTTTGTTTCGTTTATTGAGCTGAATACTGATTTCCATAAACCATTTCGTCTTTCCAGTTGAAATGATCGCTTGCTCTGATCATGATTTAGTGAACCGGGCCAAATTATAACAGCATGATCTAAAGTTACTTCAGTAAATGAACGTGATTTGATTTCAGATGGTGGATCAAGATCTGTTAAGTTTGAAGATCAAAAAAAGAAATAATTTATCACCAAATGGAAGAAAAGATGAGTTGCTAGTGAAATAGTTATACTACTTGTAGACTAAAATCAGTAAGCTCCTCATGTTTTAACTTCAAAACCAATGAAAAATTTGAGGATCATTTATCGGAACTGATCCTATCAGATAATAACAATCAATAACTCAATCAAATCTCCTTCAAAGCGCTATTTAATAAATCATTCTTCTATGACCCCAGATAAATTAAGACAGATTGTCTGATGATGAAGTTTTTATTGTTTTTTAGAATACATAGCCAATAAAGTAACTCACGAAAATGTTAGGTTGCTCAAATATTTTCATAACTAATAATAAATTCTTCTTTCGAAGACGGAACTCGATAAAAGTTTGCTAATAGTAGTGCGTTTTGATTCAAATTTTCCTTGTTAACTCTAAGACAAAATTTTTAGTTTCATTTCGTTGTTTCAAGGTAGAGTCTATCAGTGATTTCTTCATAAGAAATGTAATTCTAATATTGTTTAACAGTATTATGGATTAAAACTTGACGGTTCTTCATTTCGATTCGGTAACGATAATAGTTATCTCCGTAAAATTACAAACAACCTCATATTTTTTTGTTTAAAAAAGACTAATATTTACTTCCTATTGTTAACTGCACTGATATTTTTGCTAGAGGTAGAAGCAATCATCTCAAGCTGCCAACTTACTTGAAAGCTATTATAAAAAGTACTTCAAAATATGTCCGAATATAAGACTGACACTGCAAATTGGATAATGAGTCACAGTTAAAACATTATTGTACAACTTATTGATTCATTTACATTGAGTTGCTTGAAAATCACAGTACAGAAGATACACAATCGTACTCGGTAGACATTTTAGCGTTACTTCGTTTTTTACGAGCGGAATGAAATATCTGACTGATAAAATCTGATAATCTTCTGAATAATTTATTGACTAGGCTGATACAAATTTTGATATTCATCACTTATATCTGATGTAACGATCAACAAATTTTATAAAACTATGTGTTAATTGAGTATTCTTTAGGGATCAGCCACAGATATATATATCTAACAACAAAAGCTGGACAGGTTGTAAGGAAAAAGGTAGGAGGTTTTAGTAGACCAAATAAGGAGTAACGTTTTTTATAGATATGCAGGTATTACTTGGTAAAGCGTAGGTTAGACATTTAACAAAGATAGTTTGTGATATTCAGAAGTACAATAACAGTAAAACGTTGATCCGATCTCCTTAGCATAAATCGATACTGATTTCACAACAGCTTATAGGGTTTTAAATAAAGATACAAATACTAATAAAAATCTAAGTAACCTCCAGCTGTAAACGATGATAATACTGGTGGAAGAAATATCATATAATGAGGTAGAAAATAAGGTATTTTGATGTTAGAGAATAGATTCCTTTTATTACAACTATAAGATTTTTATTTTATCCAAATTATCACAGAATATTTACGTACTGTTCGTGATGAAATCTAAAGCTTGGAGAAATAAGCATGAAGTTCTAAAACAAATTCACAAAGTCTTGAAAAATATACATCAAAAATCCATACAAATAAGATTATAGTTATAGGTCAAAAATGATGCAAAATTTGTCACTGAATTTCAAAATTTTCGAATTCTAGAAAAATGGTTTAGTCGAATTACAATGTCTTTTCTTTTGGCTCTATATATGAACAGACGTAGCTTACAGCTGTTTACGGAAAACTATAGTTAAATAGTTTTTAAGGCTGGTAAACTTCTCAATATTAATCTATTTCGGTGATCTGATAACCGTATTTGCAAAAATAAACTACTAAATAATAGACATTACAATAATCTTAAGAACATGTGTAAAGTTTAAAAAACATAACTATTCCTATACACAGGCATAAAGGTAGACATGAACGCAAGTTTTAATGTCACAAACAATTTACTGAATAGAACAGTTTAAAATTCACATAAAGGTACTTCAGTAGCTTCACTGGAGCAACTAAAAAAATTTACTTACAGCCAATTTCTAACTTCACCTTCCTGCTACGAATTCCCCCGTGGGCCGTCCTTATAACACAGTGATAGTATCCTGCATCTTCACGATTAGCTGACTGAAGCCGAAAAGTAAAAGTAAGATTTTCCGCAATTTTGAGATCATCTTTGTACCAAGATGTTATTGCCTCTGAAAGGACGTTTGTTTTGCAAGGAAGCAAAACCTGCTCTCCTTCCGGAACAATTATATACGAGCTCTCAGGGGGAAAATACAGGGGAATATTATCGTTGTGAACTTCTAAGGACTGGAAGCCATATGATAATAAGCATATTGTAAGACAAAATAAAAACTTTCCATTCAAATTTATCATCAAATTAAGCAATACAAGCCACTAAATGTATCTGTTGATGAACTATATGTAGCTATATGAATTACATATCATTAAGAATAAACCAAAATAAATATTGGTCGCAGATAGTCATAAAAAATTTAAATATCGTTATAGTTATAGCATCCAATGACCTATCAAATTGGTATGTTTAAACAAACAGACTTGGTTTCTGCTCACCATACAGCATAGTGATATCATCATATGCAACTAAATTAGAATCATGCGGCGGAAATAACTTCCTTGTCGGGCAATATTTCACCGACTTATTAGTCTGAGATTTCACAATCAAGACATCAAAATATTATTTTTCCAGCTGAAATTCCAATACATTTTGCTGCTCATAAGTTCTGACTTTTTTATCATGGTTTTGTTTGCCAAACATATTAATATGTTCTGAAAGCTTGAAAGTGCCTGATTTGAAAGAGTCCAATGATTTGAAAGAGTAAGTTTGTTTCTGGACACTTGGGTTTCTGTTATCACGTTATAATGACGGAAATCAGTCAGTTACAATGTGGAAAATAATAAGCAGAAAAGTCTGCCGCAAATAAGAAGATTTCAGAACGAACGAAACAAATGGACAATTTAGTTTACCAACTGGTAGTGAAGACTGTGTGAGATTAAGTGTAAGCAAGGGAGACGAAATAAAGAGAATAATTGTGATGGACTTAGTTAGCGATCTGAGGAGATGTCAGTAATAACAACAGTCAAGTCTCAAGACATGCATCTGACACTACTGATCCAAGAAGGAGATGATAATTCGCACGTGAGTACGAGTTTATCAAATCCCTTCTTAAAGCTGTCCACTGAGTGTGCTGGGGTCACCTCCACTCGTAGAGCGGATTGGTTATTAAGCCGAGATTGTACTCTGAGGAAACATTAGGGAACGAGCTTCCAGTGAGGGTGTAAGTCTTTTCTGTCATGTGGAGCAGAATGTACATGAAGCGACATTTCAACTGTCTTAGTTTTAAACCGTTTTTAACTGCTCATTCCTCAATGGATGTATGGTTCTTTTGGAGTTGACTCGGATCAACTTCGCTTCTAATTGACCTTCAGATCTTTGCATCGTCTGCCTAGATCAATGTCGCTGATTTATTTTTGTCTTTCAGGTCGTTAATTAATAACAGGAAGAGAAGTGGACCAAAGATGGTCCTATGTTAAACTCCTGATGTTGGGACTTGTCAACTCGAGTGCACTCTATTTACCTTGGTGCTAAACTTTTTTTGCCTAAACCTCTCTTAAATAGTGTTTCTGAAATTCCGGGCAGGATACCAGTTAGAAGACACATTATAATACATTTAACTCATCAGTCAGGAGGACCTATGGACGACCCCAAGACACTAGATTAGCTTGCAGTGTATTCAATTCCTATTGCTTCTAAAGATATACTCCAGCCACTTTATGTTTAAAGTGGGCAGACAAATTTTTTTCAACATATTGGTAAAAAAGCACTGATCACCTATTCATACTTCGTCGTGTAAGCTATCTGACTGATTACTATACCTTACTTTGATCATTGGTTTCATGAAATCAGAAAACAGGCTAAGTAAGTAAATATATACCACATGAATGAAGCAGGGATATTGACAGATATATCTATGATTTTTGGGAGGGTACCCAAATACTTTGAAGCGCTTGGTATCGTTTCTTAATGGACGGATAAGGGTTATAGAAAGAAGAATTCCAATTAACATATACAACTCACCTCAACAATGAAATTAGACATGCCCAGATTTTCTCGTCTACCAACCTTGAGTACACTATGATGATACAACACTTTAGATAAATAGCCCGGGCATGACTCACACGTAGGTCATGCCTCGTACTTCCGCAAAACCCCCGCATATAGCAGCCACCTGGAGACCAGTTACAGGAAATACCAAAATGAATAAAAATGTTTATCATTCTCTAACTTTACGGAAACTGTATTTATTAACTACAGCTCACTGTTTAAAGGGCTACCCACAATAAGCGAAATCTTTCCTGTTGAACACCCAAAATGCCCAGTATCTTTTTAATGGGCTCGCTGCTGCTTCTTGCTGTTTCGGAACAATTTCAGGTATCTGGCAAAGCTCGAAGATGGTTGTCTAGCGACTTTAGTGCAATAATTCATATCAGCTCACAGTTCTCTGTGGAATTTTAATATCATGTATTTCTCGAGGCCGCGGGGTTGATGGATGCCGGTAGCCATCACATTAACAAGCCGGAGATCTGTCGGTTGCGATGTGAAAGATAACAGAGAGAAAATATTAATGCTGAGGGGAGAAGAATGTTTGTTCAACTAAGTAGATAATTAAAGCTTAACGATTCGTACTGCAGATATTTTGAGAGAACAAAAGTGTAGGGATAATAGAGTAAACAGAGAAGGCAGTAAGAGAGACAGAATAAGTTAGTAATGTGTGTAGAATCATTTTGAATGTTTTGTTTTTCGGAAAATCCCTCCATGTTTACATATTTTTGTTATGACATGACGGACTTTTTCTGTTGACATTTTTGGTATTTTATTTGATTCCAATTTGAGATTTTATCATTGTATATTGTTATTATTTCTATATTTTGTACTTATATTGAAGTTTTTGTGTTTGCTTCTGATCTGTATATATGTTGTTTAAATTTGATCTTTAATATGGCTACAGCCATATTTGGATTGATCCGGTAGCAGTTGGACTTAACGTCACTTATTCATCTTTGTTGGATACTCTTCGGAGTAATTGTAACCTGGAAGGTGCATCAATTCCAGACCGTTTTCTCCTAGGATTGTTGTGTTTTTAATATTTGACCGGGAGATATGCGTACAGATTGCACCTATTGGAAACCATTGGAACTGCCACCGTAGAAAATCCATTTATAGTCTGGAATTGTGGCTCGACCTTTGATTAGAAGACTAATTACAGTTGGAATATTAAGAAGAATAAAGAAACATTTGGAAATTTAATCGTTTGCAACACTAACTTTCTTGAAAGAAGAATCTTGGATTACTTATCGTATTTTTGTATTCGAACTGTAATTTGGAAGACGATTCCTGATTTTGGATATTTATTTCCTGTGGAATTCCTATATTTTGTATTTGTTATTATCTTCCGTTGAACTTCACTTAAAAATGAGCAGCAGGAAGAAAACAAACACGAGGAGGGAGGAAGAGCTTGAAGGACCTCGAAACGCTAGGCAAGTCGTTAACGATGCTTGTTTAATGGGTTCCTACTATGTTAATAACGATGTTATGTCTGATACTTATTATTGTAAGTCACCTTTGGCAGGCATTAAGGAACAAGGCTTAAATGAGAGTTCTAAGGTACCAGAGACGGATCAGATACTTAAGACACCGATAGTAGGTTTAGAACTACCTAAGGTCGAACTTTCATTTTTTGATGGAAAGTCTCGCGACTACTTTAGATTTATGCGCCAAATTGAAACGTTTATAGAACCCAGAATAAAAGATGAAAATTTGCGTTTGTTGTATTTAATTCACTATTGTAAAGGAAGGGCAAAAAATGCGATTGAAGGTTGTATTATAATGGATCCACAAGCGGGATATAAGAGAGCTAAGGCCATCTTAAAACAGCTCTTTGGACAGTCGCATGTAATAGCCCGGGAAACCTTAGAGGACTTATTTAGAACCGGGAATGTAGATTTTAATGATCCTGAAGAGTTGACGAATTTGGCTATTAAAATGCAGAATGCTGCTTTAACCTTAGAACAGCTAAATTGTACGACGGAACTTCATTCCATGGTTACTTTAGAACGAATAGTCAGGCTCTTAGCTCGTCGAATGCAAGCCCAGTGGGCAGAGCTGGGAATCAAGTGGGACGAAGAGGAGAGAGAGCCTAATTTTAATGAGTTGACGGAATTTATTATGTCTCGTGCTAAGATAGCTAGTAGTAGGTTCGGAAGATTAGCTTATCGGGCTAAAACAGGACATAATACGGAAGCTACTAGTGGTCTGCGTGCGAGACATGAGGATTCTTCGTTTCTACCTAACGCACGCCCGGAATATAAGAGAGTTGTCAATTATATCACGAAAGTATACGCTGTTGAAGGACGAGTATGTGACCGTGACGATGTAAAACCTCTTGATGCGTATCCCAGTAAGAAGCCGGTTGGTGTAACAGATAAGATGGCTTTTCTAAGTATGGAAAAGAAAGAAAAAGGTGAAAAGTGTAGGCATCAAGATGGATCCGAAGTGTGTGATGATAAAAGCCTCTTAACTGCTCGAAAAGCCTGGAACGGTTATTTGGATTCGAGTAAACAGAGGTTAGTGAGTTCAGTAAATATTAATAAGGCCAGGGCAGGATTGTCTGGACGGAATAAAGCCTATGTTTGGAACCCTTCACTTAGGGTAAATTATATAACGGGACCTAGAGTAGATTCTAGGATAAGTGATGGCGGTACTGTAAAGGCTAAGAAGCCTAGGAAACAACATGATGCTACTATTATTAAGAAGCCTAAACATCATTCTCTTTCGGATGCTATGACTAGCAATGGAAATAGTAGTCATCAGAATTTTAGTAGTGACAGCGATAGTAAGGAGACAGAAAGTGTGAGCAGTCCACCTATAGTGACTAGTCTATCAACTTCATCGAACGAGCCTTCTAGTGTTTCGACGTCATCGGACCTTGTCGCGAATGTTAAGTTGATTGAGGATACACAAGGCTGTGTAACTGTAAGTGTTCCTATTTCGGTTGACTGTCAGTCAAGTGATGATGAGAAGGAAGCGTCTGATGGTAACAACCAATCTACAGTGTTGCATGATAACGATGCTATTGATGTGCATATGTCTTGTGTCTCTGAAACGGAACATGAAGAACAACAAGTGAGTTTATCGGCTTTGGATTGTGACACTAATGCTGTTCTTTCATGTAGTGATATGAGTTATACAAAAATGGAAGAGTTCCACTCTACGGATGATAGTGCAGACCGAATTGACGCGACTTGTCTGACAGAACGGAATCATGATGACGTTGATAAT